GCATTGCCATGTTTCTTGTTGTATTTTTATAGGCTAATTGTTCGACCTTTCTATGGTCTTTATAAATACTTAAGTTTAAACATAATGTATTTGTTAAAAATATCCACATCACTCGCTTTATTATACTTATATTCTGAACCAAAAAATGACGGAATTATCCTTATCAGAGGCACAAACATAACGCTAGTCGGTAAAAAGTTTCAACACATTTGTTTCACGTGGAAATGCCAGTAAAGGCATACCCTTTCCTCATGGTGGATATTTGTCTATAAGAATATTGCTAGCCTATGGTCGTAAAATCTACTGACAGAAAATCAGAAAGTGAAGTTCATTATTAGAAATTCAAAGCCAAGAATTCCGGTAAATTGCCGCCAAAGGCCGGGCATGCTGGAAGTTAGGTTTTCAATTGTGAATTTTTCAATTGTGAATGCTTCAGCCCGTTACTGTGCATCTGTGCAATAAGTTGGGAGTCTCCTGCCGCGATTTGCGCAGACCTGGAACACAAGGGACTTGGACATGAAGTGGCAGAAAACGCACAACATATGTGCCAATGCCAGTTATATCTTGAACCAATTGATACCTATCTGTACCAAATCGCTTCCAAATAGCTACGACAGTTGTTATTCCTGGTACTCCGGCCATAGACGGTGCGGAATCGTTTAGCCACGGACATTGCCCGTTCTTCTTTTTTGCAATACTAGAGGACCTTACGATACTAAAACCGAACGTGTTTGTTTGTTCCGACGCAGGCTTCCAGTTGAGTACAGGGGTCAGTTAATGTGTTGGTGGTAGTGCTTAAGGTATCGCTCCCCTCTCGCCGTTTTTGAGGGAATTTGCATATTTAAACAAATTTGATCATAGTGAATCGATATTATTTTGTCACGTATAAACTATATGTTTACAGCAGTTTTTTTTTAATCTTCCTCATTTATATTAAACCGCATTAGACTATTTACTTTTCTATCTTCACAATTAAGTACCTTAAGCAAATATGACTGAAGATGTAGTGATTCAGTTTAAAAGTGTATCGGCACTACGCAAAGAGAGAGAGAACATAAAAGAGGAATCTTGACTTTTTCGGAATATTAGCCACTTTTCACATAGCGTTTTTTTTTTTTAAAAAAAGTTAATCAGATAGATAGTTGGCTTGCGTGACACTGAGGGATGAATATCTATGTTTGTAACAAGAAACTATAAGTTCTTTTAACATTTCAAACTTGATATATTCTGAGAGAGAAAAAAATAATTTCCATTGATTTTTCCGAAGCTGCAACTTTTTTTAAAAACCCGCACAAAATATTTTGAAAAGTCCATGAAATCACTGGGACATGGCAATAATTATTGCATGTAACATAACATGTATTAACTTAATTACTTATTCAGATCTAGACCCAATTGCTCTTATTTTGAAAGGAAACTGGTGCAAGATATAGACCTTTTTACGACGCGGTCCGTTGCTATGAAAAAATCGATCGGAAGAAGTATTTTCTCGCGCATAATCATTTGTAATTATTCAACGTCAAGCATTCCTCCATAAGTTACCTTAGCCTCTCTATGGTGATAATTCAACAATCGTTTATTCTCTCACTTCCTTACTGCAACATTTTTTGTTTCTTTTTGAAAATTTCTTTTACTGGAGAGTAGCTAAAGATACTTCAGCGAACAGGTTTTATAGTACTAGCTGCTAGACCTGTCCGCAACGTTAAAATTAAAGCGACATATAAAGTTATGGATGGAGAGGAATTGATATTAGTAGGCTATTTTTTAACTGGTTCTCCAAACCAGTCTGAATTACATTGTTGTGAAATGTTTGTAAATGTTATTTTTGGAACAATTCATTTAATGTTACGTGAAGTAACATAGATATTACACTAATTAATTTACGTCATTAACGAGAAAGGTCTCGAATATTCAATGAAGGGGAGGCAACACTTGCGAGAATGTTCTGGAGTTTGACGCATGCATAGTCAAAGGGAAGTAACCATGAAGTGAGTAATACCAAAGAATATGTTCAAAATTTTTGACCTATCACTAACATTATACTATGACCAGAATGTGTAGGAGGCGTATCACTTAACTCTCTGAGGATATATGTGTAAAGACTGTAAGAATGCCCCCACATACAAGTGCGCCATACTGATTCATTTCACCTGTGACATAATATGATTATGTCCACTTGAATGACCCTGGTCATGCAAAGTTAATTAATGTAAACTACATGTATATTGGAACTGCGCAGTGTCAAGTGATTTCTTTATAGTCACCTTTTAGCTTGAGTTTTTAGTCACCTTTTAGCTTGAGTTTATCTGTACCCCCACCTAAAATTATGGCAAATTGTAATACAATACTGACACCACTGTTACTAAAATTATGTTATTAGGCCTACATTAAACCAAGGACATATTAAATGAATTTTTGAATTGAACTCCCCAATGTAAGTGAAACAAATGATGTCCTTAACAACAATAATCAAAGCACAGAAGGCGCTGAATTTGTTTGGGTCTCAGAATGTAAGAAAGGTGCAGGTTGTGAGATTATATGTTTAGTGCCACCAATGCTTTCCAGCGTTTTAATTGTAGTAAATTGGCTATAAGACTAATTGCAACACTGATATTCAATCCAATGTTTATTTGACTTTAACAATTTAAAAAAATAAGTTACCTTTACTGGGATTTGAACTCCAGACCTCTCGCTTCCTAAGCGAGCCCGAAAACCCTTTAGCCACGGTTAAATTTATATGTGAACGGCCTGAAGAAAACCATATTATTCTAAATTAGGGCTTGTAACGACTTTTAACTGTTGTTTAACACAGATGTAAATAATCCTGAAGCTTACTATAAGCATGTATATTTATAAAGAATCAAAGGGCTTCAAGTTCTTTGGTATTTTCTGATCTTTGCAATCTAAATCGTACTGTATATCTGTATGCATTATCCTGTATAAGTTTATTTTTATGTATTATAATTCATTTTGTAAGGCACATACGGAATTCTGCATAACTAGAGTTGCATCAAAAAATCATTTATGTACTTTTTTTACGACAGCCACACTTTATCCTTGTAAATCATGGCTACTTCCTTAACAAAAACAATTAAAAAAAGAATTTAACAAAAAAAAAATTTCCTCGACTTGGATTCGAACTCGAGACCTCTCACTCACTAAGCGAGCGCGTTACCACTGTACCACGGAGAAGTTATACACAATATGTCTGAATAATATCAAGTCATTCTAAATTTAGAACTTCCATTGCATTCAGGTTTGTAATCCTTATTAATTTCGAGGTATTTTGTTCAGGGTAAACCTGTTGTTTAAAATTGAAGTAAATATTTTAGCGAAAATCCTCTCGCCCAAACAGTCCGACATGTAGAATCTATATATTCCACTACTCGGTTTGTGTAGTATTCGGTAATCTACATGGCTAAAAATAGTATTTTCATTGACAAAATCATATTCATCCGCGTAATTTGTGATTGTGCATTTATTGACAATTCTATAAGCCAACGCTATTGTTTAACTTTAAATGCGTTGTAATTTGTTGGATACTTGTAACAAAATAAAATATTTCTTTCTTTTAAATCGCTAGTTTTAAGCTGTTTTGAGAACTACTTGTTGTTAGGTTTGTCATAAACTTCTGTGTCAGAGATTGAATGTCCGCTTTGTATTTAGTTATTTTCGATCAGAAAATACCAGAAAACAATATTAGAAATCTTCGACCATTCGGGAATTACTTTGCTTGAAAATTGATGCGCCTGTCTTTGACCATCTTTACGCAGTGATCTCCCCTGAATTTTTCGGCTTTAGTGTACATACAAAAGGGAAGTAACCGCTTCAAAAAAGTGGACTACTTTCGGCATTTGCAATTAAGAACATTAGACTCTGAAATTTCGCTACCATTATTTGTTTGGTCTGACGACCCAAACAAATAAAAATGACAGTTTTTCGACCTCTTAAAGGCCTATTGAGTCTCAAAATGCTATCATTGTTATTCTTCTTTTAAAGCCTTTTTTGTGTTATGTTGCAGTTTCCAAAAAAGTGCTCATTGGCCAATTACATGAGCAGTCCTTTTCTTCGTTTGTGTTATACCAGTATGTACACGTACAGTAAATATGTTGTATGGAATTCAAAATACCACTTTGTTTACATTTTCTACAATTAAGACAATTCTAATATACAGTTAGTTATATTTTCTTCAAGAGAAAGCATTTATAAATGTAAAACACATTTTCCTTTCCTCAGAAGAAAAAACCCTAACATTTCTGAGGCTTAACGGGCCTTCAAATTTGTTAATGTAATTATTTTTTTCCATCAACTGTGTTTAATAATAAAAAGCAACCATGCATTTAAATGCTAAATCACATGTACAAAATATTAATTTATTTAACCCTGCCCGAAGTGCAGTATGATAACTACATGTATAATTATGTAATTATATGTATGATTATGTTCAGCATTCAATATTTTTTTATGCGAGCAGATGAAAATATTGAATTAAATTTAGAAAGGAATTCAATTTAGTACAAATCTATCCACGTGCCATAGGCACGTGAAATTTAAGTGCGCACATAATTATATAATTATATTTGTATGCTACTTAGAAATTTTTTTGTTCCTTTCTTTTTCTGATTACATGTTGTTCTTACATAAAGCATAATGACGAATTATTCATAGTGCCACATCAATAATTATGCCTTTTGTTTAGTCTATTGAGCTCGATTAAACTTTGCATCAAGTCTTTTTGAAAAATGAAACGAGCGTAATTAGAATATTTTGCAAAACATATGCTATTAACGCATCAATGTCATTCTCATTGCTATTAATTTACGTATGTCTAACATTTATTTCGTCACTGTATTAATTTCTTTTCATTCTTCTTGTAAACAATAAACACCTGTCAAAATTTACTACACTTCCGGGTGGAAGTTGGGGAAATACGTGTCTTTTACGGGGACTTCAACGTAGACCAATGAAAATCCTCCACACAGAAATAGTCAACCAATCAGAAAATAACACGACGAATAATCCAGAAGACGTACGGCGTTGTGTATTGAAATACGTCACATCCAAGAAAATTCAGTAACAGTTTGGACACGAAAATTAAAAGAAATACGACTTAAATACTATTGTAATTGTGATAATATTAGAGAATCGTATACAAGGAATCATAAGAAATTGAAGGTAAGTTATTTAAAATAGATCTTGTATAATATTTTATTGAATTTATTTAGCCGGCCGGTGTCTGAAAAACCGGCATGTTGCACGTCACCAGATTGTAAAATGTATTTTCTGATCATTTTGTTGAAACATCCTAATGTCGTTTGTATTAATTTATATAATTTAGATATTGCTAGTATTAATAATAACAAAATTTGTATATTTAGTAAATAAGTGAAATTTATTGTGGGGTTGAACCGTTTCCAGAAGTTTCTATTTATCAATTTATCATACTCGTAGCCTTTTTAGGCATGTATTTTCATATTCAATAGGGCTTTTTATAGCTATTAACTAGAACTCCATTTAACTTTTAACTAGAATTCACTTAAATGAAGACTGATTAAAGATTGGAATTAAATTTAATGATAAAAATGCTAAATTAACTAACTTTTTTACATTGGTAATTACAGAAATGAAAAGATACGTGTTATTGTGCTGTGCAGCTTTGCTGCTATTCTCAGTAGTTGTAAGGGCAGAAGATGATGAGGGCGAAGGAGAGGAGAAAAAGAAGAAAGAAGATGTTGGAACTGTAATTGGAATTGACTTGGGAACAACATATTCATGGTGAGTATCTCCAGTTAGACTAGTCATTTAAATAGTATATATGGACAGAAATACATACATGTAAATGCCTATAGTATCTGTGGATAGAAATATATAAATACCCATGGTTCTTCACCATAAAATTATGATAGTTATTTCAAGTTGGCAAAGTTTAATTGAAAAGTAATAAGTCTGTGAGTTATATGTATATAAAAGAAATTCAACTGGAAACTTTAGCGGGATCATTGTTTCTTTACACAGATTATTCTTAAGAAGTAATATAAGTAAAGATCTGAAAACTGCAGGTCAATGGTAACTTATATATATATATATATTTTTCTAAATTCTATTATTTTCAGTGTTGGTGTATACAGAAACAAACGTGTTGAAATCATTGCCAACGACCAAGGTAACCGTATTACTCCCTCATACGTGGCTTTCACTGATGACGGGGAGCGTCTCATTGGGGATGCTGCTAAGAACCAGCTTACCAGCAATCCTGAGAACACCATCTTTGATGTGAAACGTTTTATTGGTAGAAACTGGGAAGACAAGTCTGTTCAACATGATGTAAAGTACTACCCATTTAAGGTCGTAAACAAGAACAGCAAACCTCATGTTCAAGCTAAAGTGAAGGGAGCCGATAAAATGTTCGCCCCAGAAGAAATATCTGCTATGGTTTTGGGAAAGATGAAGGAAGTGGCTGAAGATTACCTGGGAGAGACAGTTAAGAATGCTGTTGTAACTGTACCAGCCTACTTCAATGATGCTCAGAGACAGGCTACAAAAGATGCTGGCGCCATTGCTGGTCTTAATGTGATGAGAATCATTAATGAGCCGTAAGTACTGCGAAACAAACATAAATTAAAATTTTCAATATAAAAGTTGTACAAAATCAGTTCAAACAGAATTTATTTTAGTTTGGTTGTGTAGCAACTGTAAACTTAAGTGATACACTCAGAAATCCAGCTATACACTCTCGAAAACCAAACATTACAAAGCAATAAGTGTTAAGTTTCTTGATTAAGGTAATGCCTTGCCCCTGGCAGGGTCTTGACCCATGCAACCAGCAATCTTTGAATAGTGATTTAATAGAAACATTTCAAAGAATATAAGCTTTAAAAACTTTAGTAATATATAAGTAGATGTCATCATATTTTAGAAATTTGAAGAGTTGAGTTGAATAAATGCGGGCTTAAAAAATTAAAAATCTTGTTTCACATTTGCAGGACTGCTGCTGCTATTGCTTACGGTCTTGATAAGAAGGAAGGTGAGAAGAATATTCTCGTGTTTGATCTTGGAGGTGGTACCTTTGATGTCTCCATTCTCACCATTGATGATGGTGTATTTGAAGTACTTGCTACCAACGGAGACACTCACTTGGGTGGTGAAGATTTCGACCAGCGTGTGATGGAGCACTTCATGAAATTGTACAAGAAGAAGAAGGGTAAGGACATCAGAAAGGACAACCGTGCTGTACAGAAACTCCGTCGTGAAGTTGAGAAGGCCAAGAGAGCTCTGTCCTCCCAGCATCAGACCAAAATTGAAATTGAATCTCTTTTTGATGGTGAAGATTTCAGTGAATCCTTGACCAGAGCTAAATTTGAAGAATTGAACATGGTATGTACACTACACTTAACAGTACTTATTACAGTTATTGTCAAAAGAGGAATTTTTTATTACATTACATATTGATATTACTAGTTAGGAATAATGAATCATCAATACTTAACAATTAACAATAATTATAAAACCTTCAAACTATAGAAATAAATGAGATACCAAAAAAATTATTTTTTTTTAAACTGGTAAAGTATAGTTGTATCAATTTTTCAGGACCTGTTCAGATCTACTTTGAAACCAGTACAGAAGGTTATGGAAGATGGAGATCTTAAGATTTCTGATATTAATGAAATAGTCTTGGTTGGTGGATCAACAAGAATTCCAAAAGTTCAACAACTTGTTAAAGATTACTTCAATGGAAAGGTATGTTCTCATTGTATTTTAAGCCTTTGTATATTGTCATTAACTCTGGGAAAATTAGGAATAAGAAAATATTAAAGTGACTTGCCTTGTCAATTGACAAAATTTTATATCTGCACTGTAGAAGATTTAGATCTAATATGAATTCTTAGGGAGAATTTCACATTTCTTTGAAAGTTAAATTTTTTTGATTTCTGATGTTTTGCAAACAAGTAAGGTTGTAGGTTATAAGCACAGGAATATCTGTTTTGGGCTTATATTTTAAAATGCAACATCATCTTTAAGTATTAACACTACCGCTAACTTTGTACATGAGTTTTATATTTTCAAGTATGCATACTTAACGGTATTGTGTATTTTTGTAGGAACCAAGCAGAGGTATTAACCCTGATGAAGCTGTGGCTTATGGAGCTGCTGTTCAGGCTGGAGTGCTTAGTGGACAGGAAGACACCAGTGACCTTGTCCTTCTCGACGTTAACCCTCTTACCATGGGTATCGAAACTGTTGGTGGCGTCATGACCAAACTTATCCCAAGAAACACTGTCATCCCAACAAAGAAGTCCCAAATTTTCTCCACAGCCGCTGATAACCAGCCAACTGTAACAATCCAGGTGTTTGAAGGAGAACGTCCAATGACCAAAGATAATCATTTGCTCGGAAAGTTTGATCTTACTGGCATTCCACCAGCACCAAGAGGAGTTCCCCAGATTGAGGTCACATTCGAAATTGATGTAAACGGTATCCTGAGAGTAACTGCTGAAGATAAGGGAACGGGAAGCAAAAATCATATTGTCATCACCAACGATAATAACAGACTTTCACCCGAAGACATTGAAAGAATGATTAACGATGCTGATAAATATGCTGCTGAAGACGCTGCTATGAAAGAAAAGGTTGAAGCCAAAAATGAACTTGAAAGCTATGCTTATTCATTGAAAAATCAAATTAATGACAAGGAAAAATTGGGAGCTAAACTTAGTGATGAAGATAAAGAAAGCATTGAAACTGCTTTAGATGAAAAAATTAAATGGTTAGAAGCTAATGCTGATGCAGATACTGAGGACTTTAAAGCACAAAAGAAAGAACTTGATGAAATTGTTCAACCCATTATGAGCAAACTTTACCAAGGTGCCGGTGGTGAGGGTGGAGCACCTCCACCTGGTGGTGAAGAGGGTGATCACGACGAGTTGTAATGCACGTCTAACTTAGGGATATCATTATAAATATTGTTAATTTATCATTTACATCATTATGGGGGTTTATACATAATATGGGTAGTAACCATCGAGTAGAAGGCAGGAGTTGTCCGATTGACTTCTCAATTGTCTCTTGAGCGTGTGATAATGATAAAAGGGCAAGGAATACCGATTCCTGGTTGGAAATGTTGATTGTTATACCTGCCTGAAACTCTTAGTGTATGGGCTCCGAGCAGATTTGAAACAATGTGATACTGGCATTACAGATTACTGTGTCAAACCTATGTCACCATTCCTCATTTCTATCACACATATTATCATCAAAATGTTTGAAAAGTTTACATTCAACTGTTGCTGATGTTTTTGAATAAGTATTGAAAAACAGGAAAGTTGTTAAAATTTGAATAAGTGTAGTATTTGGGACCATGTGAACATGACATTAGATTCTCGTGTGTCTAAAGTTCATTACTTTTCATTTCATGCTAAGAAAAAAATATGGACATTGGTACTTGTGAAGGAGTTGAGACTGCTTATCAATGTTTATAAAAGAAATGATTATGAGAAAGTCTGAATGTTGAGAACCGAGTTGATAAATGACAAGTTATATTTTTCTATTTATTAAACTTGTTTGTGCAAATTTAGTACTAGTTTAATGAGCACGTTAAGTAGTATGTATCTTAAGTGTGTCTAATAAAGACGTATGTATTGTTTAAAGGTTCAAGTTCATACGCAGATCAGTGCATAATTATATTTCCAACTTGCTTTTCTTTATTTTGTACGAAATGAAAGTTGCTCAGTGCTAAGTTTCTTAAATTATTTTGTGTGTAAATTGTTCTATATAAATAGTAAATTGAAGTTTGTGTTCTGCAGTCAGTTGTGAAATTGCCTTTTGGGAATAAGTTTTGCATTGTGCAATAAAGAATGACTGGAAAAAATTAAAAAGAAAAGGGCCTAGTGGAACTTTTCTTAGATTTTGAATAAGATTCCATTTTTAGGAGCGTGAATTTGTTTCAAATAATTGGTAAATTTGGCAGAACATTGTGCAAGAGTTTATCTTGTGAATAGTTTTGGTGTAGCAAACTGTGTAAATGTTTGTAAAAATGAAGATGGATGAATGCCGTAACTGAATTGTGAAACTGTGTATAGAAAATATAGTTTTGTGATAAAAAGTATGTTAAAATTTTATTTGTGACATGTTGTATTGAATTATTGACATTAAAAAAATGAAAATACCAAGTTAAAACTGTATTTGTTATTTTCTTAAGTTACAAATGCTAATTTCCTTTTGATAAAATATGCGAAAAAAGTACTTGCCATGGACAAAGCACTGGAGTCCTACACTGAACATTACACTAAATAATCTAGGTAAAAATAAATATCCATATGTACCTGTAGGTGTTTGTTAATGTCAACTCTCGGGTTTGGAAAAGACTGGTCCTTAAGTTTGTACAGGCCGATCTGTTGGACTGCTATCTTCAGAATTGATCTACAATTATTATCAAAGTCTAGTGACTTGGTTAATGTGATGTTCACAGAGGCTGAAATCGAATTATCTAAATGTTTTATCAAAATATCAAATAAAATTCATCATTTGGTAGGTTTTTCAAAGTTTTCTGACACTCTTTTGACGCAAGCAAGCCATAAATAGCGAACTGAAAGCGCAAAGGTTATTTACCTGTTTTCAGAATTCAGTTCCATTTTCAAGTGCATAATTGTTCATAAGAAGGTGCAGGCAAAACCCATTTATTGTTTATCCTGAAGGAATGCTGTGTGAATCTGTAATTTACACACATGTATGTTTAACATAACATTATTTTTGAATGGTCGATTTGTACTCCTTAAACCATAAAGCTGACGGTTAAATTTAGCCGCACTCTTGAGGATGTTGGGATTTAGTTTGACTTGAACAAAATCACCAGGCCCAGGTGAAATACATGTATAATCCCTTACTATTGACAGGAGGCACAACACTGTTGTATAATAAGTGTAACAATGGTGGTGGCATGGCAAAGGCTACCACTGTTTTATAAAATGTACTGGCTTTATTCATTCCCAGCCCAGCTGGCATAATATTAATAGCCAAGAACTTTGGGTGCTGTATTCTTTGTCTGTCAAAAGCTTTACATAGCTAGTGTAAACTGTTATATGATATTTCTGACAACGAATTATTTATTTATATAAAGGAGCACAAGGACATCTGATGATCTTTAAATTTAACCAGTCATTTGTGGTTCCATTTTGACAAATTAAAGTGAATGGTGTTTTTATGCTCCCCGAAAAATTTCGGGGGAGCATATCAGTCAATGCGAAAGTCAAAATTTTTTTCCAGCCACAAGGACTCAGATACTTAGATTTATTTCCGGCCCTGATGATTTTTTTGCGGCCCGGACTCTGAAAGGTATTTTTTGTAGGGGTGGGGGAGGGATATTGCCATAATTATAAACAAACATATTCAGCAAATATGAATTATCAGACTCAACTATAAGATACTATGAAAAAAATATACAGAAACATAATAAATTAAACAGTTTTGCATATTTTAGGCCAAAAATTGTTTCAAACTGGCTGAAATTTTATTCGGACATGAGGACTGACTGTATCGAAATTTATATCGGCCCTCCTGATTTTTAGTTGGCGAGGTCCGAGGACCGACAGACTTTCGCACAGACTGGCATATAGTCGGCGCCTTGTCCGTCTGTCCGTCCGTTTTCTTGTCCGGAGCATAACTTGAAAACCCTTGGAGATAATTTGTTTAAACTTCATACAGTGGTAGAGGGCATTGAGGGGGAGTGCAGTGTCAAAGAACCATAACTCTATTTTGCCCGGTTTTTTAATTATCTCCCCTTATAGAAAAATCTTGTCCGGGGCATAACTCTAAAACTATAAGAGATATCAACATGAAACTTTGTAGGTGAATAGATCTCAATGGGTAGATGTGCAGTGCATAAGAACAATAACTCTTTTTGTCCTAATTTTGGAGTTATTGCCCTTTGTTAATTTCAACACTTTGAACTTTGTCCGGAACATAACTCTAAAACTATAAGAGATATCAAGATGAAACATTATAGGTTGATAGATCTCATTGAGTAGAAGTGCAGTGCAAAAGAACCATAACTCTGTTAAGCCTCATTTTTGAATTATCTCCCCTTATAGAAGAATCTTGTCAGGGGCATAACTCTAAAATTATAAGAGATATCAAGATGAAACATTGTAGGTAGATAGATCTCATTGAGTAGAAGTGCAGTGCAAAAAAACCATAACTCTGTTAAGCCTCATTTTTGAATTATCTCCCCTTTAAGAAAAATCTTGTACTGGACATAGCTGTAAAACTATAAGAGATATCAACATGAAACTTTGTGGGTAGATGTATCTCAATGGGTAGATGTGCAGTGCACGAGAATCATAACTCTGTTTTGCCTAATTCTGGAGTTATTGCCCTTTGTTTATTTTACTTTTTGAAGTTGTCCGGAACATAACTCGGAAACCATAAGAGATATCAACAAGAAACTTGGTAAGTTGATAGATAACAGTGATTAGAAGTGCAGTGCAAAGAATAGTAACCCTGCCTTTCCTAATTTTGGACTTATTGCACTTTAAACTTTTTCCATGGACATAACTCTGAAACTACAAGAGGTGTGCTTTCCTGTGTCCAAAACCTATTCGGGGAGCATCACCCGGCTCAAACCAGGCTCTTGTTCTTACTACAATTACCTCTGAATAAAACTGTAATGTGAAGTTTTGAATTATTGGATACATTTTTGACTTCCATACTTAACGTATAAACAGTGTAAATACAATACTATTTCCTGTTGCAGCAATAAATATTCAAGTTGAAAGATACTCCGGCTTTTTAGAAAGGTTACAGTGATTTAATGAAGTAACACACTTGTAATCGCAAGATGGGGTAACTCATTTAATTGACTAAATGTAATAAGGCTTGCAAGACATTGTACAGTGATTTGGTTCATACACTGTAATATTCACAGGTGGTCCACAAAGTTTTCTACAGTTCTTTCAATATGTCTTGCACTAATCCTTGATAAAGCCTTGATCTAAATGAAGGTTGACCCGTGTAGGCCAACTTCTTCAGGGGTTTTGGACATGGACCCCCAAGAATAGGTGTTACACTGCCTTTAAGAAGCCACACCACTGTAAAGTCATTTAAACTGCAATTGTGAAATCTTCTGAAATGCATGGTAATTTCTGAATTATATTTCAATTAAGCAATTATAGAAATATGTAAATTTTCTATATTTCAATTTAGGTTAACATTTTGTGTATTTCTTATCTTTTGCATATTTTTTTCTGTTTTAAGTGACCCAATTGATCTATTTAAGACCTTCGGATTTTTATGTTTTAGGCTTCTGGACCTAAACTGAATACAGCTCATAAAAGACATCAAACTTGAGCAATCCCAAAATGTAGTTCTGGTGACCTCCCCTGAGTTGCTGCCAATAATTTAGTACAATGCAACCTTATAATATAAACATTTAGTGGTGTTCAATATGCAGAAAATATGTTAAATTCAATGATATTGAAGGGGGTCATAAAAGGACACGAAGAGAAATTAAACATGACCAATTCTCTTATAAATATCTGACTACATCTTGTTCTCTTATAAATATCTGACTACATCTTGCATTCATTTCTAACGACTATTAATTAACACGCATCACCGTTTATGCTAAGTCACTTCCGGGAGAATGAAAACAATAAAAAACTAACATTATTTTAAGGAAAATTTAATCTTGTGCTTTATATTGTTCTTTTAGATATTATACATTTATTTCAAATTAACAGTTATGTTTAAACGTTCGACTTTCACACGCTGATATTTTGTGACATCGCCAACTAAAAGTGCTACCACAGATTCAGATTGGGCAATTTTATTGACGTTTAGTTTTGTCATCTGTTTAAACTCGTTCTACAGTTACGATGCCACCTAAGTTTGCAAGAATACCGGATAGTTCAGACAGATATGGTGCAAGAGATATTGAAAGGGTATTTATCTATTGTTGTTTTTGAAAAAAATTATTTATAATTTAAATTGTTTTGTTTTTCTAGTTAATGTCTATGTTTAATAGACCAAGATCATGGAGTTGAATAGACTCCGAAAAATAAACAACTGTCCGATCTATACCCACGATCCTTTGCGCTCTTGTATATCTGTGCCAAGATGTATTGGTTTACGGAATGCCAGATGGGCAGGGATCAAAAAATATTTTTTAGAGCCACTCTTCTTTCCGGACGAGTGGCTTGAAATTTCAAAACGTCCTATATGATAATAATAATCAATAAAGTTCCTGATGCAATAGAACATTGCCGAAACAATCAAAAGTTAGAAATTTTTATTATCAGTTTGTTTACATAAATTTAACAAACCAAAACCTGAAATAAAGCTTGTGTTTTAGGTTATGTATAAATCACACACTTTATAGAGCTCTAAATATAGAGTGTAAAAAGCTCATCAGAAGTAATGTTTAATGTATCTGACTTATAATAAAGTTTATATGACAAAAGAGCATTGTCTGGCATGTTCCAGTTACACCAGTATCAAATTAACAATGCGTAAAGTGAGCAATTTATATAGAACCTAGAACACAAGCTTAGTTTCTGGTTTTCCATACAACTTGATTATGAGAATTCTAGCTTCCTATAACATTGGCTAATTTCCACTCATCATTTTGTACTCGTCCTTCATTATTCTCTTCATATAAATACGAGTGGACAAGCAGACTTTCGATCCCTCATGAGTCCATACAACGTCTGATAGGTGATAGTTAAAACCAATAATTTGATTAGTTTGGTCCACTGGACATATGAGGTCTGGTAGGTGATAGTTAAAACCAATAATTTGATTAGTTTGTAAAAGTTGTTAGACTGAAGATTTGAACCCATGAATAACAATGAAAAAAGTCATTTTTCTAAGTTCTTTCTCAATTAGTATTTCATATATTATATTATAATTAACCTTCAGTTATCTTAAAAATTATCATGAATGGTGACTTTATGATGTGTTGTAATGTCTGAATATTCTTTATCATTCACATTATAATAATGATTATAATTTACATATGATGTAAACTATATACTGATTCTCTTTTGTTGTTTTCCATTTGCAGCAATCATTGCTGGATGCTGATTCTGATGAGGATGATTTCTTTCTAAAGTATGAATGTCATTTTGTTTTATACATTACTTTTTCTCAACATTTTATTCCTCCCACTAACTTTTTAATGTGCTTCTACAAACTGATACTAAACCTGTATTTCACTCAGGAATTTATTCAATATATAATAGGGGCCTTTGCTTTATAAAGGCCATTTCACAATTCCAAATGCCAGCTTCGCAACTGAAAGAAACGCCACTTTTACATGATTGTTGCCGCAGTATTACAACATTATTTAAAAGTATATTTAGCAGTGTCACTTTAAATATCCTGAAATATTATATACAACAATGTATGTAATTAAAATGTACAGTAACACTGGATGAAATCACAGCATATCCCCCACATTACATACTGGAAATATCTCAAGTATTGAAATATCTCTCAAGTTAATGTTTTGTTTTTATCAAATACCGTAAAGATAAAGTGGACTCTTATTTGGCTTTATAAAGTTTCGCAAAGTCACAGTGTGTTGATAATAATGCTAAAACTCCACAAGAAAAATATGTATCCCTCTGCCTTTCACAATTCAAAAAGGCCCAGGCCACTTCACATTTAAGAGCAAAAAAGCCCTGGTATATTATACATGTATGCTATTACTTGTAATTTTGTATTGATCATAATTCATTGCACGATATGCTCAGACTTGTTCATTATGTGGAAAAAATAATAAAAGCTCATTAAGTAAATTAGTTTCCAATTGAAATAAAATTTGACAATTTTGAAATTATAATTCCTATATATGTTGGTATATGTAGTATTTCATATTGTAAATTGAAACCTTATTTATCTTAAAATCTATTGTACACTAGTAAAATATAATTCTTGTGTGCCTTATGCTGAATAATGATTTTCTCTTGCAGTGGTCCAAGAGTTAACACAAAGAGACTGAATGACCCTAAAATTGGCAGGTAAATATATGATGTTTATTTAATAACTTTTCTTGTTTGTGTAATGTTTATGTTGTGCATTTTTCTGAGGCCAGTTGGTTACTTCTATGGGCCGAGCTAGCCCAACCCAAATTCTACTAGCTGTGGGATGTTGGGCTTCTGCTAAAATTGCAGAATTTGTGAAAATATTTCACACTTTTCTATCTTTGGCAGATCTGTTTTAAATGGAAATATTTATCCAAAATCTTGTTAGAAAGAATAGGAAAAATTAATATTATCTGTGATAAAATCAGTCAAATATACCCAGGTCTCTAAAGTGATGTTCTTTTGAATATGAAGCAGAATTGTTATACATGTAATTGGGAATATTTATCCAAAATCTTGTAAGAAAGAATCTAGGGAATATTAATATAATTACTAAATTAGTGATAAAATGAGGCAAATAAACCCAGGGCTTTGAAGTGATGTTCTTTTGAAGATGAAACAATGAGTATGTTTTAAAACAATGATAATGGTTGTTTTGTATGATTGTATGATAGATTACGTGGTCAGGTTGAGGAAGTTGTAGACGTGATGAAAGATAATGTTACAAAGGTGATAGAGAGAGGTGACAGGCTTGAAGATCTTCAAGATAAATCAGGTATTTAAAGTTTACCTTTAATTTGGTAATGATTCAATGATTTTTGACAGAGTTTTGCCCCTTGAAGAAATTTTCAGTTTCTGACTATCTCCCCAACAGTTGTACACATTCAACTCAAATTTAATATACCGTATAGATACATCATAGTTAAGTAATAAACAGATCAAGATTTAATTTGGTAATGATTCAATGATTTTTGACAGAGTTTTGCCCCTTGAAGAAATTTTCAGTTTCTGACTATCTCCCCAACAGTTGTACACATTCAACTCAAATTTAATATACCGTATAGATACATCATAGTTAAGTAATAAACAGATCAAGATTTAATTTGGTCATGGTTCAATGATTTTTGACAGAGTTATGCCCCTTGAAGAAATTTTCAGTTTCGTTCATTATCTCCCTAACAGTTGTACACATTCAAGTTAAATTAAAATTTTTGACAGAGTTATCCCTCTTGAACTTTGAAAAAAGGAGAAATTTTCAGGTTCTGTTTTATTTCCCCAAGAGTTGTACACATTCAAATCAAATTTAATACATGTACATATGTATATAGATACATCATAGTAATAAGCAGGTCAATATTTAATTTTGGTCATGGTTTGATGATGTTGGACAAAAATGTCCCTCTTGAATGTTGGAAATTTTTTTGAAATTTTCAGTTTCCGCACTCTTACTTTTGAAGAAATGTTTATATAAAGTTGAAATTGCATGTGCAGGTATTTAACCAGAAAATAAAAGTCAAGTTTGAATTTAATTTGGTCCAATGATTTTTGACAGAATTCTCTTTCTTGAACGTAGAAAAAAAAAGAAATTTTCAGTTTCTGCTCCAACTTTTGTAGGAATGTGTGTCCGAGGTTGATGTTTCATGTGCTGATATTTTACCAGAAAATACAAGTCAAGTTCTAATTTGGTCATGGTTGATAGATTTGTATAAGTAATTGTTTGAATTATAAACTTTTGTGTTTCAATTGTTTTTACAGATAGTCTAGCCAATAACTCGGACATGTTCAGAAATAGAGCTAAAGCCCTCCATAAAACCATGTGGTGGAAAAATTGTAAGGTAAAATGATATTAAATGCTCTTACACTTTCAGAAAAATAATTTAAACTGTACTGCTATATGGTTAATACTTCAAAAGCTTGTAAAGACTATGAAATTTACGGATAGATTTAAAAGCAGGTAGGCATAGATTTTTATACAAACTTGTCTCCAAGTTTTATCATTTTTCTCATTCAGAAGATTATTTTGTTAATTTTTGCTCCTTTTCATTTAAAAGCTTTTGATAGTTTTTGCTCATGTTCAAGAAGGAGCTTGTTTTGGGAAAAAACTGCATAGATGCATGGGCTGGACTGGCTAATAATAGCTTCAGACACAAACAGTATGACTAAAGTTCAGATATACATAAATTATGTGATAGTCAGTAACTTATATTCGCCTTCTAACTAGTTTGGATTTTCCCTTTATGGCTATTTTTAGCAAACCTTATAGGGAATTATTTTACATCATTCATGATGTCAGATAAGTCATCAACTTTGCCTTAGAAAAAAAACTTTAAGGAGATATTACAAGCTTCTAAATGAGAAGGGTAAAAAATTTCAAGCTTCTTAATGAGAAGAAGGATATTGCTTTTAAATTAATCTGTTAATTACATAGTATTTAAAAGAATAAATTTTCTGTGAAACATTAGATTCTCTAAATGTTGGTACATGTATCTTAATATTGATTCTAGGATATCTAAAAAGCATGGTTGTTGCCATCTTTGTTTACATGTAATATCTTGAAAATGTAAAAATTGTGTACATGTTTCTGTTTCCCACAGTTAAAAATAGAAGCTGATCATCTTTCATGAACATGAAAGCAGTCACTGATTGGCTGACTGAAAGGTCACAAGTAGGTGATCTCCTGTTGGTCTCTGTCAGATCTACATGTAAACATAAGAAGATCTGAAGTTTAGGCAGATTGAGACACAAACTAAAATAAATATAGACTTTGTAGGACCTAATAATTGTCAATTCCAGCAGGAATACAAATTTGTTGTTCTAGAGATGATAAAAGCATTATTACACTGTTTTTGTCTGTTTTCAGATGAGATTGATAATGGCGTTTGTGATTATATTGATCTTGTCCATTATTATCAGTAAGTATATCTATGTCTTATCGATGAAGTATATCTATGTCTTATCGATGTCTCTGACTTTCATTAGATTTTAAGTGCAAATTTAATTAATACAGCATATGGAGAAAGCGCATTGACAGTTACTACATTTCGATTTAAGTTCCAAAGTTCTAATTACTCGTGGGTTAGTCTCAAGCCAAGCCAAGGATGGTGTCAATATTTTGGTGTCTTGGTGGTGGCACAAGTATTAACTATTCCTAATTTAACAAAGATTCTATTTTTAAGCATAATGTTCAGTCGTTTATATGTCACTTTTTGTGATACATCTTGTTAAATACTAGTTTAGTTAATGTGATATTATGTTGTGGACTATAAAGGTAAAAGTCAACTTAACATATTGCCAGATGACTCAGGAAAATTTCTATTAATATTGTTATATTGTTGTGTTAATGTTTAATTTATAAGCAGAGTAGGTTAACCTTTAGTAATTAGGTTAGTTTTTAGCTCAACTATTACATTTTTACTATAATATGGAGAACTATCCTTCCCACCAGAGTGCCTGAGTCATATTTATGACTGTAGGTTTGGTTTTTCATACCCACCCCTCTTCAGTTCAGATTTCCTTTACCCTTTTAGATATTGTTAACCAGGTTTTCAATTTTGAAAATCCTGGTTATTAGATTGGGGTATGGCGGGCGGATGGGCGGATGGGCGGGCGGGCGTCAAATGAAATTGTGTCCGCTCTGTAACTCTTCAACCCTTTGAAGAATTTTGATGAAACTTCAGACAAATGTTTACCACATCAAGATGACGTGCAGAACGCATGTTCCGCATGGCTGGCTCCAAGGTCAAGGTCACAGTGACATTAACATTGAAAATCCTGTCCGCTCTGTAACTCTTCAACCCTTTGAAGAATTTTGATGAAACTTCAGACAAATGTTTACCACATCAAGATGACGTGCAGAACGCATGTTCCGCATGGCTGGCTCCAAGGTCAAGGTCACAGTGACATTAACATTGAAAATCCTGTCCGCGGGCGTCAAATGAAATTGTGTCCGCTCTGTAACTCTTCAACCCTTTGAAGAATTTTGATGAAACTTCAGACAAATGTTTACCACATCAAGATGACGTGCAGAACGCATGTTCCGCATGGCTGGCTCCAAGGTCAAGGTCACAGTGACATTAACATTGAAAATCCTGTCCGCTCTGTAACTCTTCAACCCTTTGAAGAATTTTGATGAAACTTCAGACAAATGTTTACCACATCAAGATGACGTGCAGAACGCATGTTCCGCATGGCTGGCTCCAAGGTCAAGGTCACAGTGACATTAACATTGAAAATCCTGTCCGCTCTGTAACTCTTCAACCCTTTGAAGAATTTTGATGAAACTTCAGACAAATGTTTACCACATCAAGATGACGTGCAGAACGCATGTTCCGCATGGCTGGCTCCAAGGTCAAGGTCACAGTGACATTAACATTGAAAATCCTGTTTACATGATTTTAACTTGATTTGGCAGTCAAAGGTCATATCATCTTTGGAGGTAATTTAAAAAAGATATGATATATTATTTCATGTCTACTTTGTAACTTGTTTTTCATTATACAGAATTATCAATATAATTATAGTGAACAAATTCTTCTGTGCTGAACTCGTCCTACATTTCTCAACGGATTTTGTTCAAACTTTCACAGAAGCTTTGTCATCAAGCACCCTGGCACATATTGTCGGGGTTTTGTGATTGGATAGTTTTTGACCTAATTATGGCCCTTTGTTTTTTTCCTTATACATAATATTATAGTGAACACTTCTTCAGTGGCAATTCCTCCTACATTATTCATGTTTTACATTGCACATAGTTACATTGTTTGTTGCTTGTATTTGTATTTCAAATACAACATATTTATCTACAATGGTGATAATTGAAAACCTGGTTTCATGGCATTGCCATGTTTCTTGTTTTGGAATTTTAAATATTTGTTAGTAACCATCATCCCCATTTTTCAGGCAAGTATCTATACCTATAATAGTCAAGTTGACTGTCTTGTGGCCAGCTCTTGTTATATTTTATCCTTAACATTTGTCATTTTCAGTCTTCGGTTAATCTACATTATTATAGTCAATCTTTTTAAATTTAGCTGACTTAAACAGTGAAAAAAATGAGAATAATAACACTTTAAATTGAAATTTGTTTATTTCACTTCTAATATATATTTTCTCTGTTTGTATTTCAGTTCCAATCATTGTGAGTCAAGTAAACAAAAACAAGGGAGGATAACTCTGTCCAGATTTTTGTATGGAATTTGTTTGACATGTACATAATATCTTCGGGGTCATAGAGCACATACAGGGATCTTATTCTAGTGATGAATACCGTAGTTATTATAAGTCTTCAAGTTTATAATTTACCAAAGAAAAACAGGGATTTAAAACAAGATGTATAATATTGGGGTTGTTTAATTTATATATGTAAAATTTTTGTCTTTCTGACTGGTTCCGATTAAGGTAAATTAAGCAACATGACAATGCTATAAAATCAGGTAACCAGTCAAAACTGCAAAATCTGATTGGCTGAATATTGATTCAAAATTTGAATAGACCAATGAACAAGCAGTGTTTAATGACTGGTACTCAAATGTTAGGGTTATAATGAAACTCACAAACAACATTCCAATATGATGTAAATATTACAGTAAAATAATTCCATGAGGTATACGGGCATCTTTTTTCCTTTTTTTTCCTGTTTAAGTCACTTACACTGTTTGAGACATTTCCTGTATTACTGCAAGTTTTTTACATAGGTAATATAAAATTAAAAATAGTGGACAGGACAGAATTTTTTTAAACTTTGAATGATTAAAGAGAATCGTAATTGAAACAAATTTATAATAAATTTGAATTTGACATCTTATTTTTTGAGTTACCTGCCCCTAAAAATGAGATTTTTTACTTTTAGAGCTCATTTTCATCCTGAAGTTTGAAAAGATTCTCTTATCTAATTCCTGTGGTATTAGATAATTAACTATAAGCTTGCTGTCGTCAATTTTATTTACCCGTGCAAACAGTGCAGACAAAGATCAGCCGGCATGCCCTAGCTGTTCGATGATGGTCTGCATTGTTTGCTATTTAGCCATACATATTTTCCCCGACATATTTTTCAAATTTTCCCTAAAAAATGATAATTGGTTTAGTCCATATTGAGAGATGGAAAAGTGCATTAAAGATATTTAACTTACTAATTGCTAATCACAGGAATAAACCTGAACCTTTTAAATGCTATGGACAATAATAACTTTACCTATTCCACCTGTATAAACTCATATTATCCTGCACTTTTAACAGTCTGACAAGAACTACAAACTAAAACCTCTATAGAGCAACCACCCTTTTGAAGACAAATATGTTGGTTGTTACTGAGAGGCTTTTGCTCCACAAAGGTTAAATTTATTGTGAAGTCTTACTTTGGGAAGAAAAAATCTTACTTTAGGAAGAAAAAGTCTTACTTTAGGAAGAAAGACTTACTTTGGGAAGAAAAAATCTTACTTTAGGAAGAAAAAGTCTTACTTTAGGAAGAAAAAGACTTACTTTGGGAAGAAAAAGTCTTACTTTGGGAAGAAAAAGTCTTACTTTGGGAAGAAAAAGTCTTACTTTAGGAAGAAAAAGTCTTACTTTAGGAAGAAAAAATCTTACTTTAGGAAGAAAAAGTCTTACTTTGGGAAGAAAAAGTCTTACTTTGGGAAGAAAAAGTCTTACTTTGGGAAGAAAAAGTCTTACTTTGGGAAGAAAAAATCTTACTTTGGGAAGAAAAAGTCTTACTTTAGGAAGAAAAAATCTTACTTTAGGAAGAAAAAATCTTACTTTGGGAAGAAAAAATCTTACTTTAGGAAGAAAAAGTCTTACTTTAGGAAGAAAAAGTCTTACTTTAGGAAGAAAAAATCTTACTTTAGGAAGAATAAGTCTTACTTTAGGAAGAAAAATCTTACTTTGGAAGAAAAAATCTTACTTTAGGAAGAAAAAGTCTTACTTTGGGAAGAAAAAGTCTTACTTTGGGAAGAAAAAGTCTTACTTTGGGAAGAAAAAGTCTTACTTTGGAAAGAAAAAGTGTTACTTTGGGAAGAGAAAGTCTTACTTTGGGAAGAAAAAGTCTTACTTTGGGAAGAGAAAGTCTTACTTTTGGAAGAGAAAGTCTTACTTTGGGAAGAAAAAGTCTTACTTTAGGAAGAAAAAGTCTTACTTTAGGAAGAAAAAGTCTTACTTTAGGAAGAAAAAATCTTACTTTAAGAAGAAAAAGTCTTACTTTAGGAAGAAAAAGTCTTACTTTAGGAAGAAAAAGTCTTACTTTAGGAAGAATAAAATCTTACTTTGGGAAGAAAAAGTCTTACTTTAGGAAGAAAAAGTCTTAGTTTGCGAAGAAAAAATCTTACTTTAGGAAGAAAAAGTCTTACTTTAGGAAGAAAAAGTCTTACTTTGGGAAGAAAAAATCTTACTTTAGGAAGAGAAAATCTTACTTTAGGAAGAAAAAATCTTACTTAAGGAAGAAAAAGTCTTACTTGAGGAAGAAAAAATCTTACTTTGGGAAGAAAAAGTCTTACTTTAGGAAGAAAAAGTCTTACTTTGGGAAGAAAAAGTCTTACTTTGGGAAGAAAAAGTCTTACTTTGGCAAGAAAAAATTTTACTTTGGCAAGAAAAAGTCTTACTTAGGGAAGAAATGATACTGTTTTTCTTAAGAGGCTATTGTTATTCATATCATTAATTGAACGCAGAAAATTTGCAGATTTACTATCTATAGTATACTTTTCCTGATATTAATCTTTCATTTTTACAATATTTTCCCTTCCCGTTAGCCTGCTGGCATCTTCAGAATCTGCCCAGGCAAGCAGTGCAGACCAAGATCAGCCGGCACTTCTATGCCAACTGATCATGGCCTGCACTGTTCTCTATATGGTCAATACATATTTTGAAATTTTGCTTAATATAAATGAATGGTTTTGTCCAGATTAAAAAGTTGACAAGTTGGTTGTAAGATATTTTTAGCCAGGTACGAGTTAATGTGTAAATGAAAATTTTTGCTATTTGTCTATATTATGCTCTGTATTGTATTAAAGGTTGTGACACAATTTATTAGTTATTTAATGTATATATGGATAACTGTGATACATATATAGAATTTTACTGGAGTATGCTGTTCTGATTAATTATATTGTTCTAGTGTATTGTGTAAAATTTATTAATGAAGCTAATACGCAGGGCGAGTGTAAATATAACCTTGTGTAACCAGCTAGAGCTACACGATCTACCAGAATAACATACTCGTGTAACTTTCCTTGTGTTATATACCCTCCAATTAAATAAAAATATGGAGAAAAAAGATTATTTTTCCTTATGAATAAGCATATGAATGTAATTCAATAGACATATATGATATACTGTCATGTAATAACATAAAAGTGTGAATGTTAGAAAAAATTAACATTAGGTATGTTCACTTTAAATGGAATTTTTGTTTGCTTCAAACTAGGGTGCAGGGAAACATGTATATATATTTTTATGAATTTATTTATTTTTTGCTAGTTTAAGATTTTATATTGTTTTTCTCCCCACCATTATAATAGCAAATTGTTTTTTTCCTTTATCAGAATTAAAAGTAGTAGGTTTTTGGACCTTTCTTCTGCATACATACATATGTGGAAAAATTTCAAGAAACATTTATTCTTGTATGTATTAACTTGACTTTAATAAAAAAATAAATAAAATAAAAAAGGGCTTGCCATTTAGTTTAGCTCTGGGATCAGCATTGCAGTAAAACTTTTACCTGCAAGATTCATCTCCACAACCTCTGAATTTTTCTCTTTAAAGTTCATTTTTGTCTTTGAAGAGTGTAAAGATATATCTAATAAAATAAAATTGAGCATTTTGTTAAAACTTTATATATGTCTTCAGGGAAGTTATTGTAAGGCATAGACCTAACCTGTATTTCAGGCATAGATTTGACTGAGTTATTTCCCCTTGTGAAAGTTACTGCCCTTGTTTTACTGTCAAGCTCCTCTCTGTGTGCACCTTGTCTGTTTTGTACCTCTTAAGAAATTATTTAAGACTAGGAATAAATTCTTAAAAATAACTACAAAAAAACTCTTCAAGAAGTGTTGAATACTTCAACTGAAGAAAAATAATTTATGCATTCATATATTATTATATGTATGAATATATTATTTTTTGTTCTTTCCCTGCCTTTGTTTAATTACAGACATTTTTACTTAAATTATTCCATGACATTTAGCCATTGTATTTGATTTGTATAATTATATCTTGTTGGTATACTTAGTTGTATGAATAAATTTAGAGTGTTAAGATTAAAAATAAATGCTGGATACAGTAATATGTAAGAAAATTTCAGAAAATAAATGGCATTGTAACTGTAAACAGTGATTTACATTGCATTTTGCTTGAGTAATCATGCACTTATAGTAATATTTCATGAAATTATCAAAAAAAAAAAGGAATAATTTGTACTACGGTTTAAAACCATGGAATAAAACTGTAATTTGAAACCATGTAAAATTGCCAGGATCTGAAATCTTGAAATTACCATGGTTTAAAATCATTTTCATTTTCATGTGATTTGAAACCTTATGAAAAAACCATATGAAATCACACTCTTTTGAAACCATGTAATATCTATGACAAAGTGCATTAGATATAATATTTAGGAATAAATATTTTTGTGTAAATATCTTGGAAAATGCAATTGAAAAGACAGTGCTTACTTTACGCATTACATCTCCCTGTCAGTTTATAAGAAAAGTTGATAACTGATTTTGCTTTTATATTCTGTTATGTTATTAACTTATGTACACTATTTGTGCAATATATTTGTCGTTTGCAACTTACGTAATCTAAATTTGCTGGTTTTCAGTGAATATTGAAGTTCTGGTCCCGAACGCTGAAGACTTTCAAATTTTGTTGTTGTTATTGTTGTTAGGTTTTTGACTGAAATACGAACATTTTTCTATATTTACTAACATTGTCATCTTCCATTTTGAGAAAGATAAATTTTCATTTATTTGATATCAATTAATTTATAGACGCTCATTAATTATGCTTATTGATTTAATTAATATATTCATTTATTTATGTTTATGAAGTGATAAAAGCAATGTAAGCTGTATGTTATAACTACATAGGTAACTTGTGTATGTCACAAAGAAAAATCATTGTTTCATTATTTGGCATAAAGTAAAACGCTACATATTTCTGATAGTTTTGTTGTTATATTTTGGTTGGGAAGAATAAATTAAAAGCAAAACTAGAAAACCTGTTGTAAGTAATGTTCAGATTATCAGTAGTGTTAAGTGAGTAATGTTCACAATGTCATTAGTACTTAGTAAGTAATGTTCACAATGTCAGTAGTGCTTTGTAAGTAATGTACATAATGTTAGTAGTGTAAGTGAGTAATGTTCATAGTGTCAGTAGTACTTAGTAAGTAATGTTCACAATGTCATAAGTACTTAGTAATGTTCACAATGTCATAGTGCTTTGTAAGAAATGTTCACAATGTCAGTAGTGTTTGGTAAGTAATGTTCACAATGTCAGTAGTCTTAAGTGAGTAATGTTCACAATGTCAGTAGTGCTTTGTAAGTAATGTACACAATGTCAGTAGTAATAAGTGAGAAATGTTCACAATGTCAGTAGTACTTAGTAAGTAATATTCTTAATGTCAGAAGTGCTTTGTAAGTAATGTTCACAATGTCAGTAGTACTTTGTAAGTAATGTACACAATGTCAGTAGTGTTAAGTTAGTAATGTTCATAATGTCAGTAGTACTTAGTAAATAAGTTTCACAATGTCATAAGTACTTAGTAAGCAATGTACACAATGTCATAAGTATATAGTAATGTTCACAATGTCAGTAGTGCTTTGTAAGAAATGTTCACAATGTCAGTAGTTATTATTAAGTAATGTTCACAATGTCAGTAGTGCTTTGTAAGTAATGTACACAATGTCAGTAGTGTAAAGTTAGTAATGCTAACAATGTCAGTAGTGCTAAGTAAGTAATGTTCACAATGTCAGTAGTACTTAGTAAGTAATGTTCACAATGTCAGTATTGAATGTAAGTAATGTTCACAATGTTAGTAGTGTTTAGTAAGTAATGTTCACAATGTCAGGAGTGCTTTGTGAGTAATGTTCACAAGGTCGGTAGTTATTAGTATGTAATGTTCACAATGCCAGTAGTGTTTAGTAAGTAATGTTCACAATGCCAGTAGTGTTTAGTAAGTTTTGTTCACAATGTCAGTAGTGCCGAGTGAGTAATGTTCACAATGTCAGTAGTGCTTAGTGAGTAATGTTCACAATGTCAGTAGTACTTAGTAAGTAATGTTCACAATGTCATTAGTACTTAGTAGGTAATGTTCACAATGTCAGTAGTGCTTTGTAAGTAATGTTCATAATGTCAGTAGTGTTTAGTAAGTAATGTTCACAATGTCAGTAGGGTTTAGTAAGTAATGTTCACAATGTCAGTAGTGTTTAGTGAGTAATGTTAACAAGGTAAGTAGTAATTAGAATGTTATGTTCACAATGCCAGTAGTGTTTAGTAAGTAATGTTCACAATGTCAGTAGTGCTTAGTGAGTAATGTTCACAATGTCAGTAGTACTTAGTATGTAATGTACACAATGTCAGTAGTGTTTAGTGAGAAATGTTCACAGTGTCTGTCAGTAGTACTTAGTAAGTAATGTTCACAATGGCAGTAGTGTTTAGTAAGTAATGTTCACAATGTCAGTAGTGCTTAGTGAGTAATGTTCACAATGTCAGTAGTACTTAGTAAGTAATGTACACAGTGTCAGTAGTGTTAAGTGAGTAATGTTCACAGTGTCAGAAGTACTTAGTAAGTAATGTTCACAATGTCATTAGTACTGAGTAGGTAATGTTCACAATGTCAGTAGTGCTTAGTGAGTAATGATCAAAATGTCAGTAGCGCCTAGTGAGTTATGTTCACAATCTCAGTAGTGCCTGGTGAGTAATGTTCACAATGTCAGTAGTTCTTAGTGAGTAATAATCACATTGTCGGTAGTTATTAGTGAGTAATGTTCACAATTTCAGAAGTGCTTAGTGGGTAATGTTCACAATGTCAGTAGTGATTAGTGAGTAATGTTTACAATGTCAGCAGTGCTTAGTAAGTAATGTTCACAATGTCAGAACTGCTAAGTGTGTAATGTTCACAATGTCAGTAGTGCTTAGTGAGTAATGTACACAATGTCAGTAGTGCTTATTGAGTATTGTTCACAATGTCAGTAGTGCTTAGTGTGTAATGTTCACAATGTCAGTAGTAATTAGTGAGTAATGTTCACAATGTCAGTGGTTGTAAGTGGTAACATTATAGCAGTAGTGTATGAATTATGGTCGTCAAGTTTAAGAAGTGAATTATGTAAATTAACTGAGCTTCGTATGAGTAAATTATGTTCATGAACAGGGTTATTGTTAGTAAGTAGTGTCTACAGTCAGTTGTGTTCAGTGAATGATGGTCGCAAAAGTGTCGATATGAAATGAGAAATGTTCACAATGCAATGGCTGGTAAATTATGTTAAACCCACTAAATTCCATATGTGATGCGTTAATGTATAAATGGTCACACGCTTTGACTGAAAGAAAAAAGTTTAGTGTTTTCTTTCGTGTTCTTTTTATTATTTTCTTTCAGTTAAGAATGAGTTTCATATAGATTTTCAATATCACTCACTGCTTCAATTGACAGGCTGACAAATCCTCATAGATTGTATAGAATAATTCCCAGCTGTTACCGAATGAAACAAAAATGTGTGCGGGGTTGATTAGAAAAATAGATCCAGAATACGTTCCTCGTGAGGGGCTGATCAGTTCACACACGATGAACTGATAAATGATTGAAATCAATAACACGGATTGCGTTTAGTCAGTTAAGTTTGTTTACATGTTGTTCTCAAAATAACGAATTGAAAAACATTAATATCAATTTGTTTAATTGCATGTAAAATAGAGGTTAAAGAAAAGAATGTCACTTGTTAAGAAAACATTTAATGGCGATGTATTTTAATGGTGGAATATTGTGTAAATGCCATACGGTGCATATTCTAATATAAGTGAAGAATGGGTTTATTGTTAAACCATATAATTTACGAAGATCAGATTGGAAAACTAGACCCATTATGAAGTGTTGATAATCGGACTTGCTATTTAATTGTAAAATCAAAAATCGATTCTATATCATATTTAAGTATATATAAGTGCACGACCTGTGGCTTTATAATACCATATCGTTCTTATATCTTATAATCAATTCAAAAGTTATAGCGCAGACGACAATAAATCTTCATCATGATTAGGATTTGGCAATCGATGTGTAGTTTAAAATCTCAGAGAAAGTATCTATTTTACATATGTGTTTTATGCCTTGGTGTGTTAACCTTACAAGTCTCGCTATTCTGCGAAATCAATGCTAATTATGATAAAAAACGAATTGAAAAAAGAAGGTATGGACTTATGCAGGGATATTTAAAACCAGAGTCAAGGTCAGTGATAAATGTTGATTTTACTGTGAATAATGTCCTTGATCATATGACAAATGTCCGGCGCGGATATTTTGGGAATGAAAATTTTACAGACAAAATGTCGGACTTTGTTAAGAACTACACTCTTCAAATTCATAAACAAGAGCTTTTGCGAGTAATCGTGATGCCACATTCGCACAACGACCCCGGTTTTAAGAAGACCTATTCAGAACACCCCGACCAATCAACAGATACTATTTTGTCATTAGCCGTCGAGAAACTGTTTCAATACCCTGACATGGCGTTTGTCTGGCCAGAAACTTGCTTTATTCAAAGATGGTGGAAAAATCAAAATGATACAACCAGGAATAAGTTAAAACAATTAGTAAAATCAGGCCGTCTGGAAATTACTTCCGGCGCTTGGGTCACACCGGATGAAGCTACGCCGCACTATTTTGCGTACTTAGATCAGCTGATTGAAGGTCATTTTTGGGTCAAGCAGCATCTAGATGTAACACCAGTTGCATCTCTTGACATGGACCAGTTTGGCTATTCTTCAACTGCAAGATATTTATTGAAAAAGGCAGGAATAAAATATTCTGTGGTTAAACGAGTTCACATGGGAATGAAAGAATATCTTATGAAAACGAGGTTGATGAATTTCTACATGAAAACTCCATTTGATTTATATGAACAAGGAATTTTCACACAGGTATTTTAATAAACTGTATTGATAAAATCACGTTGTACTAAGCAGTGTCTATTTTGAAGGGTATTGAAGACCTTTTCCCCCCATCATAGGAGAAAGTCATTTTTAAAGTTTTCTTTGTGGCAAACAAAATAGGCTTACATTGTATGACATAGCAATAGCATAATAGAAGAGAGTATCTATGGTGGCTGGTTTGTAACATGTCGTTTTTCCCTCCGCTGAGCGCCAGACGAGAACACGAAAATACAACAAAATTACGACTTATAATCGTATTATCGTGTATTCACCTTGCTCCCCGCGGAGCTGAAGTACGACAAATTATTGTCTTTGTCATATGTACGAGTTTTTGTCTGGCGCCCCTCGGAGCAAAAATACGACATGTCATAAATCAGCCACCATACATATTTGAGAATACTGCACAACACACTGTAAACCTTTTTTTCGATTTATTAAAAACTTATACCATGCCATGTAAAGTAATTAAATGTATCATGAAAAAACTGAAGGCTATATATACGAGCAATAATATATGTCTAAATATAGAAAAAAAGTAATCAAAAAGAAAGAATTTCGGTAATTTCTCCACTCAAAGTAAAGCGCCCGGTTCAAAATGATACTATCTATTCAAAACAATTATCAATGGAGGATACTTTACACCCAATGGTTATATTTCATTTTCAGCTCGACCATTATAATTAATATACATGGGACGAGCAATCCGTGTCTAGGGCATATCACAGCTATCTTAACGATAATATCCAAAAAAAATACACGCTATAATTACAATGTATAGTACAAATAAACTTGTTCTATATAGAGCGTATTTTTTGGATATTATCTTTAATATTGGTTATATTGATAGAATTTCAAGTTCCTGTGGTCCTATATATAGTTAAGTTTTACGTAACAACCCCACTTATTCTTTACATTTGAGGTACTAGTATTGCTTTGAAACTATTACCAACATCCCAACATCTAGGCAAGAGGACATTGCCTTGTCATGGATATTGACCTATTTTTATTTAAAATTACGGTTAAGTTTTCCGAACCACCAACAAAAATGTCGGTTACGTTTTCCGTCTTTCCCCACTTTCTATACGTGTACACTTTGATCGAGGTGCGCGTATTGCTCTAAAGCTTACCATACATAATAGTGAGCATCAACCCCGCTTTCAGGCAAGAGGACAAAACTTTGACAAGAATTTTATCAAAATTATGCACAATTTTTTAAACAGTCTAATTCAACATTACCTTGTATTTTAACACAACAGGAAACATTTTCACTTAGGTAAGTCGCTAATTTGTTTCGAGTTAGTATTACTCAACCATGTATTCCATTATATACCTAAAACGTTTTAAAATCAATTCTATCTTTGAAGGTTGAACCATACGAATGGCTAAGTTTTCCTGACAGTTGTGGCCCATCTAGAGATATATGTGCTGATCTTGATTTTGGACATGACGTCACACTTCCGGATCCGGGTACACCGGAAGCAAACAAACCAATAAGGCTTTTAAATCACCATTACAGAAGCCTTTCATCGTTCGCAGACAAAGTTGTGCAACAACTGAAACGTAAAAGTAGATCGTTTCTGCATAATGTTTTGCTTCTACCACATGGCGATGATCTAAGGTATGGGACAGGTTATGAATGGGACAATCAGTATCGCAACATGAAGATTCTGATACAATACATTAATTCTAATCAAAACTACAACGTCAGAATGAAGTTTGGTACCCTGAAAGATTTCTTTACCGAGTTAGAAGAACGATCAGAGGTCAACTTCAAGTTCCCGGTTGTTAGTGGAGATTTTTTCCCATTTACAACCGGCAACGAGTACTGGAGTGGATTTTTCACAACGAGGCAATATTTGAAAAGACTCGGTCGCGAACTTCAGGAGTCTGTTCGTGCAGCCGACATTCTAGCTGCTTTGGTTATTTTAAGCGGACATGTTCATGAGATGTCGCGTGAAATTCTGACTTCAGTATTAGAACAACTGGTAGGTGCTAGAAGAGAACTTAGTGCGTTTCAACATCATGACGCTATAACCGGCACGTCACGCACACATGTCGTGAAAGGTTATGAAAATAAGTTGTCGTCTGCTTTGTCTGTGACGCAGCAGATCATGGCGTTCTTAATAGAAGTAATTCTTTTCAACGCTTGTAGTTTTAGGGATAAAGAGAATACTAGATGTGGATATCAGAAGGAAAATAGAATGAAAGACGGCAATACTCTAAGAACATCTGTATATGTTTTTCCCGCGTCTGTTCAAAAAGTGTCGGATGTTGAACTTGCATTTAATTCAAAGACAGACTATAGTTTAGTTTTATACAATGATTTTACTCAGGAAAGAGACGAAATTGTGGAGTTTTTATTTTCTAGTCCATATATATCAATATCGGATTATACATCAGGGAAAAACTATAGCTTTGATTATCTCTGGCAAGGTGAAATGGTGCATATATTCTTCAAAACAAGTTTACTTCCTTTAAGTATAACTACATTCAAAATTTTAAAATCACATCAAACATTTTTAGGAAAATCTATGAACATAAATCATTTTGATGTAAGTGATACAAACTTTACTCTCTGTGAGAACAGTCAAGTGAATGTCACGTTTTCTTTATCTGACGGTTCACCGCAGGAAATTTGTTACAAAATAGAAAATTTCTGTGAAAAAATAAGAATTGATTGGAGACATTACCGACAAAGTGGCGGAGCATATTCTTTGTCTTTGAGTAACGAAAGTGTAAATTTGTTAAAATCGAATTTAAAAGTGCGCATGATATCTGGAAGCAAGCAATGCACTGTTGAGGTTTCGCATGACACGATTAAAATTGAATATGTTCTGAAAAATACTATCGGTCTAAATGGCCGATATTTACAAGTGAATGTTCACACTGATCTGTCGCGAGCCAACGCAGGATATTTTGTTGGAGAAATTTCAATGAGAGTTGTCACTACCATCAACAATAGCGATATATTTTACACAGATTCAAACAGTTTACAACTTCTAGAACGGAAATACAGAAAAACCATGCCGTTCTCATCAAACGTTTATCCAATTTCGTCAATGGCCGCCATTAAAGATGGTTCCCGTATTTTAAATATACACACATCTCAGCCTCATGGAGCAGTATCATGGGAACCAGGTATTGTAGATCTATTTATAGACAGAGTGGCGCTAAAAGCGGAATATGGCCTTTGGCACGAAGTGAAGGACAACAAATTTACGTCAACAAAACTATATCTTCAGTTCGAATCGTGTACAAATTCAAATTCTGATTCAAAATCGGAGAATTTCGTACCATCTTTTGAAAGCTTGATAATAAACGATTTAGTTCAACATCCATTAAAAAGCTTCTTTTCTATAAAGGATGTACCCCTAGAAAAAACCTCAGTTGGATTTTTACAAAGCAGTTTACCATGTGATATTACAATAGCTAATATGAAGTGTTTATGCCAAGATAATTTTGACCTTGAGGGTGTTTCGTTGACCTTGTTTCGTAGGTTGGCAACGCGTTGTGATACTATACCAACAAAATGTGGCATTCCGGCGAAATATACAATGATTAGTCCAGACTCATTATTTATCAACAATCCGGGTAAAAACTTCACAGTAAAAGAGATGTCTTTGACGCATCTGAAAGTGAAGAAATCTCTAACTCAGTACGAAATTGTTCCATTCGAAGAAATGGATTTAAAGACATTTTTATTTGTAAAAAATCCTCGTGTTAAAATGAAGAGAGAACGAAACAAAACAAATATATTTGTATAGCCTGACATACATTTTATTATACTATATTTTTTTAAATAGGTGCTGTTTTAGATTAAGAGATTGATATAACAGATGGATAAGAAGCTTTTACAGAAGACAATGTTGAGATTGACGACCAGAATCCTTTGCGTGAGCTTATCTGGCGTTTGGTGTTGTTCGATTTCCGCCATCTTGTTTTAATGTGGCAAACATTTTGAAGATTTGTGTTATTGAAGGAGTTTCGATATTTTTGATTTTACAAACGTATAGATGCAAAAAAGTATAAGTCATTTTACTTTTAAGTTTCGCCGCAAATTAAAAATGGCGGAATAGAGAAATAGAGCAGAGAATATGAGTTCGCTTTAAAATACTTTACCAGATTTATACTGACGTCACAGCTTTGTCTTCTATGGCTTAAAATAAACAAAAAGTGAACACTCCCTCTGTACCTTTCTAACTAAAGTTCAAGCCAAAGGTTTCTTATGTACACTACTAAAACACAAACAAACAAAGAAACAAAACATATAGTCCAACACATTTTGCCTCTTTGGTATAATTAAAATGTATTTTATTGTTTGATTCATGTGAAATTTCGTATCAATTTGTCACCTTCTATGAATTGACCAAAACAAACTACAACGTCAAATACTAGATCGTAGTTTATCGTATATGTTGCAATTGCCCAAGAAAAATACTCTTGATATAATATCAATCTAATAAAAGGCGTTTCTTCTCTCAAACATATTTATGTAGCTGATCTTAACATAATCCTGTGATCTTAAAAGATAATTTATCAAGTATGAACTTTTAAAGGCAAGTAAGCATGGATATCGGTATAACCGATGGATGAAACACCTTTTTCTCAACGCCAAATCAACATGAAACCAAACGCCAAATCAACATGAAACTAAACTTAATCAACATGAAACTAAACCTAGGGAAAGTTGTACTTGCCTGGTACGAACATACCAAAATAATATACCAGTCAATAAAAGAAGGTACTTTGTGACTTTGTAAACTGACGTCGAATAAAGAGATAAAGTTAACATAAAAATTGTTAAAAAAGATTCCGAAAACAACAATGCAAATAGGTTAAATAAAAATGGCTTCTTTCATTGTGATATCGGTGAAGGGTTGTCATATTTTACCAGATTATCTTTTATTCGTATGTTTGCAGATAAATAACCATGAATGAACCATGAATGATACATTTCTAAATGTTCTTTGTAACAAAAATATTTTAACCATTCGCCACATCTCATCAAATATAGTTTTCATTGCCGTCGTATAATTATAGTACCAATGTTGTCGACACATTAAGCTGTTGTCGACGCATTGAGCTGTGATCGACGCATTGAGCTGATGTCGACGCAATGAGCTGATGTCGACGCATTGAGCTGTGGTCGATGCATTGAGCTGTGATCGACGCATTGAGCTGATGTCGACGCATTGAGCTGTTGTCGACGCATTGAGCTCTGGTCGATGCATTGAGCTGTAATCAACGCATTGAGCTGATGTCGACGCATTGATCTGTTGCCAACGCATTGAGATGTTGTCGCCGCATTGAGCTGTGGTCGAAACATTGAGCTGTTGCCGACGCATTGAGCTGTTGTCGACGCATTGAGCTGTGGTCGACGAATTGAGCTAATGCCGACGCATGGGGCTGATGTCGACGCATTGAGCTGTTGTCGACGCATTGAGCTGTGATCGACGCATTGAGCTGTTGTCGACGCATTGAGCTGTGATCGACGCATTGAGCTGTTGTCGGGTTTTTTGATTGTACGGTGTGATTCTGTTCCGAATGTTAGATGTACCAAGTGATGTATTGATTTTGCCTGAATTTGTTAAACTTGAACTCTACTTTTTACTTTTCAGATTCTACAAATGTAAATTTGATATGGAATTCAAATACCATTAACATTTAATATAAAAAAAGTAAATGTTGTTGATGCTTGCTGTCTATTTGGCTATGCTATCTTCGTTCTAGTACACTTGTATGCTTTTTGACTATGCTATATTCAAGTACACATGCACATACATATTTTGACGTTGCGCGGAAAAGTTGTGGTAATCGCCCTATCACCGTGATGCATATGCTTTTAAGGTATGCTATCTTCAAGTACGCGTATGTGCTATTTGACATTGTTATTTTCAAGTACACATGACTGTATGCTATTTGATTATGAGATATTCAAGTACACATGTATGTATGCAATTTGGCTAATTGTCTTCAACTACACATGATGTTCACTATGTTATCTTCTAGTACGCATGTATTTTATTTATCCTTGTTATTTTCAAGAACACATGTGTGCTATTTGACTATGTTGTCTTCAAGTAATCATGTATTCAAACAGTCTGGAGTTCCTTCCCCTTATAATACTTTCCGTATTGAATGTAGGCAGGGAACCAGTATAACAAAGTTATATTTATTATTTCATTCGTAACTTCCTATACAGTACTTTATTTATAATGAATGCATTTTTGTTACATAAATATAAAGCATGCATATTAAGAAATTCTAAAAGAAAATGCTTTTTTTCATGTACAGTCTGTATTTGAAAAACTTGTCAATACTGGATCTATCTTAATCATTTTATTTTTTTAATCATAGTGTTGCTATTGTCATCCGCGCTATGAAGAACTAAGAGAAGTTAATCAAATTACATAAATTTCAAAAGAAAAACTTATTTATCATATAAATATCTTAAAGGATGAGCATATGTGGGAGACTATAATAAATAAATTCTATATGAATAGATGAAAAATAAATATACACATGAATAATTTTCTTTCTTTAAAAAACAAAAACAAAACAGAAAAAAAATATTTAAAAAAACAACAACAAAAGCTTACCACAGTCTAGTTTTTTTCCAAAATTATTTCTTTATTTTTTGTTTATAGCACTGTAATAGGTACTTTTCCTCCCCCCTCCCCCATCTTAGAGTGAGAGCAAGTTTAAGTGCGTGGGTGGGTTTGTTTGATGGGCACGTGAATGCATGCACGTGGATATATGACTGCGATCACGTATATAGAACTGTATTTATACGATTCTAAGGACACTTCCAACAGCGAGCCAATTTTAGATATGACGGTGCCATTTTGTTTTTAGCAGTTAGCACAATACCGAACTTAACAATGTTGGTTCCATGTTATCCAGGTGGTTGCCTCCCCTTAATTATATTTACAAATTGAAATAAAATATGCCCCATAATTCTTATGTAACAGGTAACGCAATAAAATTGATTTTCGATATTTGTGGAAAAAGGTTAAATTTCAAAATCCTAAAGTTATCAAAGTGAAATGCGCACCGATATATTTATCGATATATCATCCACTATTAAAACAAAACTAAATCTTTAAATCTTTACTTATCACATTTTACCGAGATAACGGACAATTACGTGACCAAGACAACAATCTACATTTACCACAAAAGTCTTATCATTTTTCTGTTAATTTTACTTCAAAATCAGGCTTAAGACTGAAAATGGTTCGTATAACTTGCGAAAAGTTAACCCTTCACCTGCTGGAAACAAAAGTGCTTCGACTTTGCCATCAGTATAGAGCCAGGCGAGCCTGCACATCCCTGCAGTCTGACCGGGCTCTAACACAGATGGCTGACTAACTTCATTTTTTTATCTTGATATTCAAAATATTGATAATGAACAATTTCATAATAGAAGCTTGAAAAGTTCATTTCGAAATTCAGCAGGTCAAGTGGTAATATTAATAATAACAATTCTCTTTTGATTATATTTCAGTAATTTACAGTAATTAAAGTTGTTTTTAACTTAATTTTGTTTTAATCTTATTGCAGCTATCTTTAATATTTATTTTGGAAATATTCCTTTCGCTTACGATCGTCAGAGGTGATGATTGCGCATGCGCGACGACAAACGTTCATATCCGCGAGAGCGCTGGAACCAATTCTGCAATTTTGGCCACTCTAAGAAATCAGCACTGCGTGCAGTTTAACGGTCAAAGACAAACAGTCGATGGAACCTCGTGGGTTAACGTGATTTACAACGGAAAGGTCAGTTAACATAAAACTTTAATATTGTTTATTAAAGAAGAAAATCTAGCCAGCAGTCTTGAGGATCTGCATTGTTAATATTAACATATAGAACGACAACGATTGCAGCCAAAGATACGACTAATAATAGTAATATAGTAACATACTCATTTTACATTCTAAAACTATTTTATTATGCTCGAATTTACAGCATGCCAGATCTGAATGCTGATTTTTAGATTTTTAACTGCCAAAAAAGGATGCAGACTAATACATAAAACAGGATAGTACCGTTACTTGACGCTTGATAGAGCTACGTTGGCTTTGGTCCTATAAAAATCTATGTGAGGCAAAAATTAATGTTGTATCAGTTAATTCTTACTGTTCTATAGAACGGCTGGATTCACGAAGCATACGTCACGATATCGTCTTGTATTACGCATGCGCCAACAAACTTACAACAGCTACAACTTTCGGGATGTCCGAATATTATAACAAGGGCGGAATGGGGAGCACGTGCTCCTACTCAATATGCAGGACGGTTACCAGCCACACCAAAGTATATGTTTCTGCATCATGGCGCCTCCTCACCTTGTTTCACAAAGGACAAATGCATTGACAAAGTTCAAGGTTATCAAAACTGGCATATGGATGGTCATGGTATTTAGCAAGTATTTTAACTCATACATCTGATTGCCTGATTGTATAACAATATAAACTCTATGTTCGGTTGTCATGTCACTTGTACATGGTACATTTTGAAGAACATGATTTCGTAAACCAGTCGTACCGACCCGAACCCGTGAATCTAGTATTATATATATATATATAAACGCTTAAAACAGAAGTAACGAATTCATAGCTCTTTGCAAAGCCATTCCAGATTGAAATTTCATTACATGTATCCATGATTTGTATTCCCCATAAACTTGAATATAATACTTAGGAACCATTTCAATTATACAATTTTAGGCTGGAATGATATTGGATATAGCTTTGTTGTTGGTGAAGACGGCAATGTGTATGAAGGGCGTGGCTGGGATACGATTGGAGCACATACTAAACATTACAATACCGTTGGGCTAGGTTTGTAGCTTTAGGTCATTGTTTTAGAAAAAAAAGGGAGTGGTTATAAATTGCAACACGAACGCTAGAGCAATTTTGAAAAATAAAATAAGCCGCCATTCTAAATCATTGCTTTGTTGCTTTTACAAAATGCTGTAGACGTTATAATGTTTGAGGACTTATTAAACATTTGTACCGTATAATAATAATGTTGATGATGATGATGATAATGATAATAACAATTGAGATGATAAAAATGTGTTTTATGTTTGCAATGGTAATAACGATATAGACAAAGTCCTTGAGCTCGCTTCTTTCTTGACCTTTTTCACACCAATACTGTTTGTTCAAATTGGGAACTAGTAATTTCGAGTATTAATTTTGATTTTATTTTACAACAGCTATTTGCGTCATTGGTGATTTCACCGACCATGTTCCAAATCAAGCGGCTTTAGATGCGGTACAGAAACTGATTGCCTGTGGTGCTGCAAACAATAAACTTGTCGCGAACTACACTCTCCTCGGACACCGAGATGTCGGGTCTACAGCCTGTCCTGGCACAGCGTACTATAACCTGATTCAGACCTGGCCACATTATAACCTGTGAATTGTAGGATAATTCAACAGAGCACTGTTTCAAATTATATTTAAATCTACAATGAAATTGATAAAAAATATAGTGTAAATTATTTTCTTTAGTTGAAACTACGGTTTCAGTTAGTTTGTGTGACTGTATTTTTCTATATCTCTGCGGTCGCTCCACCTAGACGGATATCCTGAATAACTAACCAGTTGATATCTGATCAGATGATATTTTTTTTTAAACAAACAATAGAAACATTACAAACATAGACGATTTTAACTGATGAAGAACTTGGAAAACAAAACACAATTGTTCACTACTTTAATAAAATCGTATATTTAAGCTTTTATTGATGAATTTAGCAAGATACATTAAAGAAAGTTTGGCAATCAGAAATACTCTCTTAAATATTTGATTTTTTAACATCCTCTTGGAAAATAATTTTTTTTACAATTCTCATATATTATAACATCATGTTTGTTTGTGTAATCATGCATTGTTCTTAAATAATAAAGGTATTTTCTCTTATTTGATACATTATCATATGATATGTGTGTGTTAACGTGTATAGCTTTTAATGATACTGTTCTCTATCTAGAAAGAATTAAACTGCTCAATAAGTATTTAGTTTTGCTGCTGGTTAACATCTATCCTTCGCCTTTATCGGGAGGGAGTTTTACTTTCAGTGGGATGGTTAGACTCATTTGGTAAAATATGGTATACAATATCCTGTGAGGTTGCCAGTAGAATTTCTATTACTGCTATGATTGAGAAAATATTTACTTATTACTCATAACAATGTACATTCTATTATATATTCTAAGTATCACATTGTACTTTGTGTTACCATGATCACGTGACGGGATAATTGTTTTATTTATCTATATGCATGACGATGTACTATGTACAAGTCTAAATAAAACGTATGTATGTATGTATGTATGTATGTATGTATGTATGTATGTATGTATGTGTGTGTGTGTGTGTGTGTGTGTGTGTGTGTGTGTGTGTGTGTGTGTGCGCGCATGTGTGTGTGTGTGTGTGTGTGTGTCTGTATGTATGTATGTATGTATGTATGTATGTATGTATGTATGTATGTATGTATGTATGTATGTAATGAGTAGATATATAATGCACTAATATACAATTGTTCCACAAGGGACAGACTGCTTCTCCTGCTGAGTCAGCGATGATACACAAGTGACAATTAGATTCAATGTCCGAGATCAATTATCACAGAGAAATCCCGCCTAACCCGAGGAACGATTCAAATACCACTTGCTATCTCTATTGAGCTAAGGGAGGCAAATATGTAGTAGATCTATTTACAAATCATTATTTACTATATATATAACCGATGTTTCATAGTGCGATACTGCAAACAACTTTGAGAAAAGCACACTATGACATTTTTACGTCATTACTAGATCAAGTTCCAACTAACAGAAAAACGGATCCCGATTGCGTAGAAAGCAATCGAAAGACCGTGAAAAGTTTTGAAACCCGAATTTCGCGTGTATCAGATGCTACTGACGGTTGTGAGTGGTCCCATTTAATGTATTTAGTAATATTATTTAGTAAATTCAAGTGATTTTGACCCGTACTCGGCTGACAAACATGCATTAGTCTATGTTTACGTACCGAATTGTTGTGCCACTTTTTTGTCTACCTGGGAGTTTTAGCACGAATGCGCTCGTTTGCTGATAGATATTTCATGAACGGGAAGGGCTAGAGACTTGGGGTCGGTCTCATTTGGAAGCTTAATACAAACGTGAAATAGTGATAAAAGTTTTTTTTTAATTATCTGGACAATTGTTTTCACAACGTCCCGGGAAATGAATCCCTTGCTCGTAGACTCGAATCTGGAGTTTTCGGCCTTCTCTTAACTTATAATATATTTTAATGGGGACAACATCTTTTTATTTTTTTGCTTTGTGAACACCAAGGTTTTTATCAATGTGGTCATATTGGCTTTCAATCAAAAATTTACCGACTTTCCTTTGCCAGCTATATATATATTTATAGATTATACACGATTACACCATCTAAGACAATATGGCTGAACTTCTTTCTGTCCGTGATAATTACAAGGTTAGCTTTTAAAAAAGCTAGTAGCGACTCGCTTCGTAATTTTTTTCCAGGGGTGCGTTTAAATGTAAAAATGACCGTTCTGTTAGCTGAAGAGACTTCAGCGAACATCAAAATAAAAGTGACATAAAGTTATTGAAGCCAGTTCTCTCAGTTTAAGAAAGAGGAATATGAGTATATATGAAGATGCATGTAAACAGATAGAATGAAGTCCCTATGTCTATGCACATTTACTGTATGGCCTGTTTACCTTGACCAAATAAATGTTAGATAGGTAGAATTCATAAAGATGTCTCTTTATACGAAGTTAAGTCGTAATATGTTATTTAGTATTGAAATGAGTGACAGACACAAGTCCTAAAGTAAACACAAGTTGTCTATCAATTCAGCCAGGGACCCCGGAAATTGACCAGTCTAAGATGTTTTTCAGATAAGCCGGGATCCTATTAAAACATATAGGGATCCCGGGAATTGACCAGTTCAAGAATTTAGTTTTCAGAAAAACAGGGATCGTTTTAAAATATAAAGAGATCCCAGGAATTGGCCAGTTCAAGAATATAGTTTTCAGAAAAGCTGGGATTGCATTAAAACATACAGGGGTCCTGGGATTTGACCAATTCAAGAATGTAGTCTTTGATTTTTCCAATTAATTAGGCATATAATTATAAGTATTGTGATTTCCGCATTTTAAGCTTGTTAATAAATAGCTCTAAATATATTTATATCCTAAGTTTAATTAAGTTAACGTTCATAACATACAATAAAAAAAACTTAACGTTTAATGGCCTTTCATCACGACAATAATCAACACAAATATAGTTTATTAGTTTTTCCTCTATATGTTATACGATCCCGGATCCCGGCCAATCCGGGGCGTCCCGGATCCCGGCCAGTAAATATATACACTTAATATCGGAAAGGATTAAATAACCGGAAAAAGGGAAAAAGAAAAAAATGCACAGAACCAGATGTACACTTATGTTAATTAACCAAACGAAAACTTACTTCAGAGGAACAGGTGAAATCGCGAAATCAAAAGTCAGTGTAAATATGATTTATTGAAAATAATTCATGAAAACAAACATTTTAATTATCATTCTAACACTCACGTGATTTTGCCTCTATAGACAAAGAAGGAAAAAAACTGGTGTTAAACTGCCAATAAACACCGGTTAGGGACTACTTGTATATGTGCTGTTATGTTTTCACCCTCGATTGTATAGTTTACAAAGCATTTTTAAGCAATAATAAAAAGCATTTTTATTTATATCTTCAGTTCTTATAATGTTTTCTTTTCATACAATACCGAAATAATATCTCACATACACTAACGCCACATATTAGATCCATATCAGTTAAAAAATATTTTGATAAAACGGCGCCAATCCGTAAGCAGCGTAATGACGTCATCCTAAGTAAACAACTCATTCATAAACAAGCTGACGTTATTTCATACATACAAGAATGATAAATGGGGCACTGATGTAAACACAATACGACGTAAGTTTTTATTGTTGAAAACTTGATAAAATAACATTTTTGTCTTATTATTTCTTTTGTTTAATAATTTCTATATCTTCGCAATAGTAGGGTGCGAAAATCGAACAGCATTATACGAAAATCGGCACCGGAAGTTATTTCCGCTTGAAAAATAACATAAGTGATTTTCCTTATTTTATCGTGTTAGAATCGAAATAACATCGGCCTGAGAGGTGTATATCGGCTATTTAACACCGGTTTTGTCGTTTTGATGCGACAAAATTAACCACTCAGGCCTACGGCCTTCGTGGTCAATTCCTGCGCATCAAAACTCCAAACCGGTGTTAAATAGCCGATATACACCTCTCAGGCCGATGTTATTTCTTAATTATATCTTTGCGCTCAAAATAATACTGGCGTGAAAATTGAAGTTTTTTTGACGCTATGTAAGATTAAATTTGATTGGCTAAATAATTTTGGATCCTAACCCTGATAGATAAATTTTGTAGAGAGCTGGAAGCCAAGCTTCGATTAAATTTTTGGATGGATTCGGAGTTTTTGGTTGTTTCTCAGTAAAATCCTAACGTAATACCGGCTCGCCGGCTCGCCATGAACAATCAACGAGGTTTTTCGATTGGCGGTAATGTTTGCAGTTGATAAAAGTATATTTCTCAAGAAGGATATTGGAATTAAGAAATTAGGTCTTGTAACTGATCTTCTATGAAATATAGAATAAGAACTGAGTAGGCCGAAGCCAACATTTATCGGGTGAATTCCGTCGATTAGCTTGTTAGAATTCCTATCGTAATTAAAATTTACACACCTTTAATTTTTTCATCAAGTTCAAATCACACCAACTAAGCATATATTTTCGCATTTATAATATTTAGTAAAAATGTTTTACAACATTGATAATCTTTCATTTGATTTTTTTTTCTATACACGCGGTTTTTAATGTTATAACCTCACATTGGCTGTTTAAGTTCTAGGAAAAAAATGTAGGAATAAATGTTGCTTAAGTCGAGTAATCATTTACTTTTAATATCCCACAGAGCCTACAATTCTTTCATCCTTTAAGTTGGAAGACTTATGTTTGTTGAAACTGTTGATCTTCCGATCGAACGGGGGGAGGGCACTTTTTTACAACAGAAAACGAAGAAATAATTAAATGAAGCAAATATATTACACTTGAGATAAAGTGTATGATGTGGAATATTATATTTTCCATTTCGTTTATGAACTTTGTTCAATGACCATCAATATACTTTTTCTGTCGTCTGCTACTATTTACTTTGTTTACTTCTAAACTCAAGGTTAATTTCCTATAAAGATGGCTGCGCCCATAGTACATGCACATGTGCACCCATAGTGGTGAACTATAATATCGTCACGTATCACATGTATCAGTGAATTTAAACAAACAGTTCTTCCTTCTCATGAGAATGAAGAATCAAAGACAAAAGATGTAAGAGAACTACAGGTATCAAAATCAATAAGTATTAAGACGTCAACAGCTCTTTCCCCCAAAACACAAACTCTCTTGAGTCGGGATCGAGATACAGTATATTCTGGTAATGAAAAACATATGAGCTAATGCTCCTCCCTATATCGGTTATGTGCTCGAAACAAAATAAGGAAGCGGCTCTTCTCGGCATTTGTTCACATTTTCTGCAAGCACAACATCGGTAAATCATAAATTCTACAACCGTGAGCCAGGTCTATATAAACCATTAGGAAATAAATAGAAGGCAAACTTTTAATAAGGTTCAAGTAACAGCTTGATTTAAGCGCAGACGACAATATTCCCGAACGCAAAAGGTAACGTTTGTTTTTTTCTAGAAACTTTTTCGTGCAGAAAGAAATATAAAGAAAGCGGAAAAAATGAAGATATATATGGATTGGTTTCATGTAACAGCCCGATGTAATATTATTTATAATAGAATATACCTTTATTAGATGTAAGATTGCTAAATTTCTTACACGTGCTAAGTGCTTTTTTGTCTATTCTTTCCAAGCTCAAAATCAGATGTTTGTCTTAATAGGTGCTTTTAAATTTTGTAAAATAAAACAATGGATATATGTTTCAATATATATCGGATTAATTTTATATATAATGATGCAACTCAGTAAGTTGATTGACTTTTTTCCTATATTTCAAATACATAATGTTATTTGAATCATTTTTCCTATAGTACAACCAACGAAATTGTAGGTTAAGAAATCCTAGGCTGAACAAGAATGTTAAAATTTGGTATTGAAATAAAGGGAAATAATGCGTCTCTAAAAATAAAGTTGTCAACGCAATATTTACATAACATTAAACTTAAATGTCAAAATAGTATTAAATACATTGTATTTAACAAAACACAAAGAAAAAATTATTTTTGTGTAATAATGATTTATACAATTCGTTATATCAATGTCACCCGGATATTTAAATACTTGTCAAACCTCTTTCTCATACGATAACTATAACGTTGGAAAAACACCTCACTGTTATTCTCCTTTTTCTCCTTTATCCTTGAATAATACATGATTATAAAATGAAATTGTCCGTAAAACTAACTTATATATGGTTTGATCACAAATATTTGTTAAAAAATACAACTTAATTTTGGCCCACCCTGACTTTGACCTTGATATCACAGTCGTTGTTACATGAAATCGACATAAACTTGTACATATTTCAGTTTAGATTAGCCCACTCTTGAACAATTGCTGAACTTGGCAATGGTTTGCGACATTTAACCCTGGTTCATCATGTATATTTCCTGTAACATAGTCTAATGCCTTTTATGGTATATCCATTATTTTGATGTTATTAAATAACATTGAGAAAAACTGCTGCGATTGTGCTCGGTCCTGCAGCATTCGCAGTGTAAGTCAGTAAAATACACCACTTTGAAGCACTTGGTACAAAGCAGAATCAGATTACCCTTGATAAGCACAATTTTAATCTTTATATATTTTCTGGTTCAGAAATCACATACGCGGAATGAGCAAATCTATCCCAAGATCACATTTAACACATCTTATAAGTGTGCATAAATGATTGTCTTATATGTGCGTCGATCGTTCTGAAATTCTAAATAAGTACAGTTGATATACATGATTTGATATTCAATTTATTAGATATCATTAGAAACACAAATATTGATAAGGATGCCCAATAAATGTGAGAGAGAATTATGTTTTCAACCTAGCAGCGTTGTCGCATGGATGTGACAAATCTTTTTTATCATTTATAGAAGGATCTTTTCACTTTTGGACAATTTTCGCATTTCGTAGGCGATGGTTTTGTAACCTTGTACTAAACTTCTTGTGGGGCGGTTCATTTCACCTCGTATAGCTTCTATCACATTTCCCTATAGCTTCTATCACATTAAAAAATTCAGAACGATCGTACCAAAATTGACGCACATTTGAAACATTTATATATGCACACTTATAAGATTTGTTAAGTGTATATAACAAATTAGTGTCTGTTATATATTGACATTAATTATGGGTTTCAGGGCAAAAATTGTCTTATGATTTGAAAGAGAAAAAAATCAGGATATTGACGAGGACAATATTTCAGCATATTCGTATAAGACTTCACTCTATGCATCAACAAGAATAACATCAAGCTCGTTTATTTCCTCTGTAACAACTGTTGGAACAACCGATCTTACTACAAGGAATGTTGAGGTATAAATCATGTATTTAAAAGATTAAATGGACTTCGTAGTACGCGTGCACTAACCTGCTGAAACCAAGTGATTTGGCTTTGCCACCAGCATAGAACATGCATATAGCTCAGTTTTTAAGTAACCATTTCCAGCAGTAGTTTATTATTTCTCTATCAACTTCGCAAATCTGGAAACATTTTTGAACAGACACAACACCATCAAATGCTCATGCTATGATGGCTGCTAAATTTCTTAGCAAAAAATTTGACAATCTCTTTTCTTATTCATTGGCATGCTATTTGTGGACTTTATGATAACTGATGTTTACTTGAAATCTTAACATTATTATTTTATATGTATCGTATCTATTCATAAGGTATTTGGGCGTCTATTCTGATAGTTCCTTGGATAAATCTAAGTAACTATATATAGTCATCTTCTCATCATGTACGAGTAGTTAACAAAATAGCCACCTCATGAAAATAAATAAAATCTGCACTGTTAGGCTTCAGAAAATAAATTCCTAGATTCTCATCCCCGCCCGCCCGGCAAAAATTGTTCCGCCCGAACGATTTTTATTTTCAAAAAAAGAGAAGAAAGAAAAAAAGAAGAAAAAAGATAGTTTATATATAGAACCTAACATTTGATTACCGTGTACAAATTCCGAGGACTGAATGTACGTATATAAGTGCATGATTATTATCTGTGTGACCGAAAGTCCGTCCGTCTCGGTCCTGGCTGAATAAATATCAGATCATGCGATCTTATTGCCAATCCTCGGGTCCTAATAAAATTTCAAAGAGTTAAAGATAACCAGTTTTGACAGTCAAATCGAAATTTGTTTAAGAACTTTAAAGGTATTGAACCACAGAACAAGTCAGATAAACAGCTGTGAGCTTGTTAGTTCATAAACAACATCGGTAAATTTTGCCGTTAATAAAAAATTTGGATTTATTTTTTAATGCCTTTTTAAAATAGAGAATGAATAATCATAAAACATTTAATCTGATAAAATTAAAATCAACAACAACTAGAATTGTAAATGGTTATGCAGGAAAAAGACATTTTTTTTATTTGTCACATATTTTCACGATGCCGATTTTTAATAGGTAAATATCTGTACTTTCTTTGCCAAATTTTCAATAGGTTATTTGTTATTATTTTGCTATGTGATAAATAAATAGGATTTTCTTTTTGTGTAGCTTCATTGGTTGATTAATTATTTTTAACCGACGTCACTCCAGAAACAAGCAATTATCATAGTATTGCAAGCAATCCATAAGTCCCCTACCGGTTAGAACCCCATCATCATTCTGAAGGGCCATTGGCCATTCACTAATGTTTCAATTTTTCTCTATTTTAAGTAAATTTGTTGGAAAAGTTCTTTAAAAGTGATCACAGGAAACAGTTTTTATGAACAGACAGACAGACAGACGGACTGAGGACACTCTAAAGTTAATATTTGAAACATCCCTGTTACCAACATATAACATTTTAAAAGCAAAATTCTTAAAGAGGAGATAACTCTTGAATTAAAGATGCAATTTCATAAAAAAATGTTCAGTTCTTTTTGACTAATCACAAATATTGTTATATTTGCCATGTTTTAAGCCTATTTGTTGCCAAGGCAACTGATATTTTATCAAAATAGGAAGAACAGATAAGACATGCATAATCTCAAGACTGCTATCTACCCATATGTCAAGTTTCATAAAAATATTTCCAGTACTTTTTGAGTTATCACTGGTTTCAGTTTATGTGTAAAATTTGCCAAATTTTCAGTCTATGTGTTGCCATAGCAACCAGAATTTTTAACATAGGAAGAAAAGAAAAAGACCTGCATAATTTCAAGACTGTCATCTACCCATATGTCAAGTTTCATAAAAATATTTCCAGTACTTTTTGCGTTATCACTGGATCCAGTTTATGTGTAAAATTTGCCATATTTTCAGCCTATTTGTTGCCATAGCAACCAGAATTTTCAACATAGGAAGAAAAGAAAAAGACGTGCATAATCTCCATACTGCCATCTATCTATATACCAAGTTTCATAAAAATATTTTCAGTACTTTTCAAGTTATCGCGGGATCCAGTTTTGTGGACGGACGGACTGACGGACTGACAGACGGACGGACGGACAGACGGACGGAGGGTAAACCTAAAGTCCCCTCCGGTAAACCGGTAGGGGACTAAAAAGTAATATTGATCGACATGGCATAGTACATCTTTATTCAACTATTTTATAAAATAAGGATATCTTATTTTGTAAATATACATGTATGTATTGGTTATTAATTTGTCCAAACATCAATTTGTTTGATGTCGGAATATGAAAGGTTCAATAAAACAGGTCATAACAATCAAGATATATTATCATGAAGCTTCTATTCTCAATCTGAATCTATACATACACATAGTATAAGCACCTAACTAGCTTATAACAGAACTAATTCCATAATATTGACCTCCTCGTATGTAATTTCCAGACCGAGAATGGAAAATAGAAAATAAAATCCACCAACCCGCCCCATTTTTCTCCAAAGTTTGGATGAGAATCTAGTTATTTATTTTCTATTGCCTTAACCACAACATTACCACAACATTAAAGCTGTCTTAATGTTTATAAATGTGTTTGAGAGGAGCATTATCTTACATTCATTAGCATGTAATTGTCTGATATAATTTGTTGATTTGCCGTACAACTGTTGAGCTATCTTGTTCCTAGACATTACATCACTCACAGTTGCTTGAACATAGTTGTCCCGTTATGCTCTTAACCGCTAACAAAATTGCCTTGTATACATCGTTCATAAAACGATATCTTGAGTCCTATATAACTTTCTTTATCTCATTGTTTTTTTGTTTATTACACATGAATCAAAGTATGTCATATCTTAACTAATCTTTTTCTAGAAAAACAGAACAAATGGTCAAGATAGAGCTAGAGCTGTTCAAGAAATATGCGAAACATTAAATTCATCAGATGCTTTTGGGATACAACTTAATGGCAAGCTACTTCAGGACCAATCACTTTATTTCTGTGATGTTCCGAAATGTGGGTCTGCATTCATGGAACTTTTTCTGTCAAGCGTGTTTCAATGCAATGGAACATGTCAAGAAACTTCCATAACTCCTGATGAACGACGGACTAATGACGAGTCATTAAAACAGACGCCCGCTGCATATTCGTTTATGTTTGTCCGCGAACCATATGCACGATTGTTTTCAGCATATGAAAATAAACTTTTCTTACCAAACAAACACTGGATAATATTGGGTATAGATATAATAAAAACAGTAAGACCTCGCGCGTCCCTTGTTAGCAGGACGTTAGGACATGATGTCACGTTTCTTGAATTAGTGAAATATGTAATTTATAACTACGAACACGGAATAACTTTAAATTCACATCTCCAACCTATGCACATGTATTGTAACACATGTAACTTTCAGTATTCCTTCATTGGCAAGTTAGAAACAATGTCCAGTGATCTTGTCGATTTAATTGATTACTGGAAACACAACAGTATTGTTCCTAAAAACGTGTCATCCGCCGCAGAAATAGAGGCACACATGCTGTATAAGCGATCCTTTGGGCCATACAAGCACATGTTTATGACTTTAAAGAAATATGGCGAGATTTTATCAAGATACAAACTTTTTCAAAGAACCTGGTCAAGCTATCATATTCGAGGGCTTATACTGAAGAAATTTAGAATGCCTTTTGGCGAAAGCGAAGTAAACAATGTCGGCTATGTAATGTTTGGTAATGAAATTAAAAGTGCAATTGATAAAAGCTTGCCGTTTAAAGAAGATCTGAAAGCACAACGAGAGGAAGCACTTGTGCAAGCTTATAGTACTGTACCTTTTGAGCTTATGACAAAGCTTAAAGAGTTTATGAAACTCGATTGTCTATTGTTTGATTATGAAACGATGCCAAAAATAATATTTGATAAAATTAGTTCAAATAATTCATTTGAATTTGATTATTTTAAGGGCTTGTAGAACTGGATCACAGTATTATGTTATACAAACTGCCATAAAAAGTAATCAATAAGCTAATGAGAGACCCAGCGTGTTGCAAACATTATACACAAATAATTAAAGTTGTTCGCTAAGGCAGTTGTGTACACTACAAATAAAACGTTATAAATTTGCCATTGAAGAAGAGTGTTTTTATATGAAAGTTTCAACAATTACTTGTGAAAAAACAAAGTAAAATTGAAGTAACATTTTGCTGGAATATGATGTTTGATTTATCTACCACAGACTATTAACTAAGTAAAGGTAATTTAAATGACAAGGCATGCCACAATCGATTCAAACAGTATTGAAATAAAGTCGAAAATCGATATCAAAATGAAACAAAGTATAATGAACTACGTACTAGATGACCACTGAAGACATGTACCAATATCCAAGAGAATTACTTTACCTTCTATAGGTAGTATTTATTTGAAATCGTTGGTAAAATATGATGTGAAAATACATATTTAGGAAATAAATTCTGACCTTTTACAGATTAAAGAAAAGGTTTATTACTTTCATTATACTTATTCAGTTATTACTATGTATGTTTACTCATTTAGTTCTCTGAAAAAAAAAGAAATCCACCAACTAGTATGTAAATCAATAAGGAGAATGTAACCTGTATATGAAGATTTTCAACACGTTGAAAGTTATTCTTTTACATTTAATTACATGTTACCTAATCTAAGAATTTAATATTTTCAACATGTTGAATATATCAATTAAAATTATAATGATGGGCCAGGTACCATTAATCGAGGGATTTCCAATTAAATGAAGAAAAAAAATCGCAAATTAAAATGTAACACGTATCTTTGGACATTAAACACGTTTAAAAATAAAAAAAGTATGTTTTCTTGATCGGACATTTACAAACTATAGATTGGAATGTTGTTTTTTTCTCCCAAAATTATACATTTATCAAGGGATTTATCAACGTGTAGAAAAATCAATAATAAAAAAGAAGAAAGAAGTTACAAAAAGGCATTGACAACTGCTACCACCTGCTTTCTCAGGCGGGGTCATATTTGACGGGCGTTTCGGCGCTTCCTCCAATGCCCTACAATTATGCACCTTCTTGACTGAAATTAAACTCTTGTCGTCAGAAGATGGTAATCTTAAGTTACCCCTGTTATATCTACCATGAAGCGTGCGCCGCCTATCTATTGGCCGTTCTGGTCTTCCAACCATTGCTCTTCTCTCTTGTGCCAGACCCACAATTTGCTGATATGGCTTTGTCGCGGATTTGTCTTATTAAATGCCTATCAATTGATTGTAACGGGAAGTCTCTACAGTAACTTTCAAAGGAAAACACCAAGATCTTTAATATATCAACAAGAAGTCGGTACTGTTCCAGCAGTCTTATTATTTTTTTTCCTATGGAATGGTAAATTCAAGATGGGACAACTTGCCTGCTAACAAATTATCGTAAAACGATGCCATGTATCAGTTTTTTGTCACAGTAATTTCTTAGGAAGAAATTACTTCTTCCCACATATATTTACTAATATCAATTAAAATCCTGTCCGTTTCTACGGATTTCTAAAATATCGATAAACCAATGGAAATGTTACTTATGTTAAGGAATTGAAACCAAGATCAATGAATATTGACCACATTGATATATCAATGTTTCCTGGATATCAGGATTTTCAACATTCTGAAATATCAATGTTGAATAAATCAGAGTTTTCAACATGAGAAAGATACCTTTGATCCGTGTTTCGTCCATCATTTACTGAGATGTTTACTACATACTAAGTTAGAACAGGTTAGTATATCTGATCTTGTGTAACACCGCTTTCAATAAATAGATGGACTTGCAAACGAATTGCAAAATCATTGAATATAAATTTGCATACATTAAAATCGATATAGTTTAGTTAAATATATTTCAAAATGAACAAAACTTCAAAAAATATTGGAGAAATATCATCACCATTTTATTCAATTCACATTTATACAACGCATTGAACACATGCTTATGTACATTATAATTAATTTCAATGAATAAGAACATATGGTTAGCAATTAGCCAATAATTGCCGTAGTATTTGTCGATGCAGGAGAGCTTGCGCCTGCAACAACGACGGTTGCCGTCACAGGTTTTGGTGGGTTTGTAGGTGGGTTTGTAGGCGGGTTTGTAGGTGGGTTAGTAGGCGGGTTTGTAGGAGGCTTTGTAGGTGGGTTTGTAGGTGGGTTTGTGGGAAGGTTTGTAGGTGGGTTTGTAGGAGGGTTTGTAGGAGGGTTTGTAGGTGGGTTTGTAGGCGGGTTTGTAGGTGGGTTTGTAGGTGGGTTTGTAGGAGGCTTAGTAGGTGGGTTTGTAGGAGGCTTAGTAGGTGGGTTTGTAGGCGGGTTAGTAGGTGGGTTTGTAGGTGGGTTTGTAGGAGGCTTAGTAGGTGGGTTTGTAGGAGGGTTAGTAGGGGGATTAGTGGGTGGCTTTGTAGGACCTGCTTTTGTTGTCTGTGCTACTGTTGTCGGTGGTGGAACCGGATTACCATTTTGTCTCAGCGTATCAAAATCTAGAGCACCGCCTTTCCATAAGTTGTATAGTCGGTCTAGGAAAGAATAATTTGTTATAGTTGTAACATATTTGCTTTGGAAATAAAATAGTCAATTTAGAGCTTAAAGGATTTCAATTTAGAAATATAAAAATTGATTCACCAAGAGTACTGAGTCTGGCCTTGGTCTATACAGGTTTGGTTCCTGGAGATTAATGCTTTACCGAGAAAGAAAACGTTTCTAGAGACATTTGCCTATGAGTGAGACTAAAAATAGAATTTGAGCAGCACACTAAATACCGTATTCCAGTATACACTGGACAAGGTGCTTGAATGATTTAGTGCTAAAATATTGCCTTTTCACCCAACGGAATGAACTTAAAAAGGTCTAATTCATCTTAACACAGATATATGTGTGTTAATGAATGAAAAATGTAAGAATCGTCGGGTAAAAAACGATATTTTTGTCTATTATGTGATCATGATTTCTTCAAGCGTTCGAGGTACTGCTCCAGTCCTGTAATGAGTTAAATCATTTGCATATAGATATTTATCAAGTTCAATTTTATAAAAGATATGACAAATTAACTCCTTTAGTATCTTACTGATTATAAGTCTTGATTTTACTTGAGCATCTCTTTATAGATGTTTAGAATTATGATTAAAATGCCTTAAATTAGTAGTATTTCTACATCCCCATGGGCTCGCAAAAGAATGCTTTACTGTTTTAAACATTTTGAACGTGTCACCTGGTTTATCCTACTGATTGTTTTCTTATATTCAGTGATTGTGAGGCTAGTTTTTGTAGATTGCATGGGTATGTGTATTGAAAGTGTGACTACATTTGGTCATTGTGTGGCTACGTGTGGTGATTGTATGGCTAGGTTTGGTGATTCTGTGGCTAGGTTTGGTGACTGTATGGCAAGGTTTGGTAATTGTGTGGCTAGGTTTGGTGACTGTATGGCAAGGTTTGGTAATTGTGTGGCTAGGTTAGTTATTGTATGGCTAGGTTTGGTGATTCTGTGGCTAGGTTAGTTATTGTATGGCTAGCTTTGGTGATTCTGTGGCTAGGTTAGTTATTGTATGGCTAGGTTTGGTGATTCTGTGGCTAGGTTAGTTATTGTATGGCTAGCTTTGGTGATTCTGTGGCTAGGTTAGTTATTGTATGGCTAGGTTTGGTGATTCTGTTGCTAGGCTAGTTATTGTACGGCTAGGTTTGGTGATTGTATGACAAGGTTTGGTAATTGTGTGGCTAGGTTTGGTGATTGTATGGCTAGGTTCGGTGTTTGTATGACAAGGTGTGGTAACTGTGGGGCTATGTTTGGTGATTGTATGGCTAGGTTCGGTGTTTGTATGACAAGGTGTGGTAACTGTGGGGCTATGTTTGTGATTGTATTGCTAGGTTTCTCGGTTTGGTAATTGTGCGGTTATGTTTGATGAATGTTTGGCAAGGTTTTGTGATTGTGTGGCTATCTTTTGTGTATGTGTGGCTTGGATTTATGAATGTGAGGCTCAGTTTGGTGAATGTGTGCGTGCTGAGTTAATTGAAAAATGCTTTCAATTGTTGATCTGTTTATTTAAACCGGTTCTAGGAGTTAATGTAACTGTCTTCTTGCCCTTCTAACAATTTAGAAAAAGACATTCAGTTAATACGGAATATCTAATCCATCATTGTTGTGGCATGAGAAAATAACTCACCAAGAATTTCCTCGCAAGTGCCACTGTTACAAAGTCCGTCACCACAACACGCGGTACATTGCTCGGTGGCCGCACGCTTACCAATATTCCCACACACATTAACATCTGGGTTCGTCATACACTCATCCTTCCTTTTGAGTGCTTCTTTTGTCAATAATGTACAAATCTAAAAAAATTTTGAATTAGATTAGTTTGCAATATAGATTGTTTTCTTATTGTCCATTTGTACATTGGTTGTCCAAATACCACTATGACTGCCAATATTAGGGGGTCTATATTGTCATGTATGTCGATATAAAGATTTTCATATCACATTGACTTTGGAAATACATCTACAATACTAAGATATACCCATTATTTTGAGACAAGTACAATGGTACCTGGAGAGTCGTCCAACACAATATTGCAGCTGGGTCATTATATCTTCTTGTGTAAACTTTTAATTCTAGTCCTATTTTATCGTCCCTTTTGTCTATAGAAAGTATTATTACCTTCTTTAGTACATTCTTGTTTCACATTTTTGTCATTTTGTTTTTAAGAGTCTAACTGAACAAAAGATTTTGAAACAAATTGAGCTTTGCCTGACTGATAAATAGGTTCATTAGGAACCTTTTCACGAAGTTGTGACTTCTATTGTGTTAGAATCAGCTGAGACGAACAATTTCGTAAGAGGTAACGTGTACAATAGGATTTTTGTACGCACATAATTAAATATTTTGGAGTATATTTATACTGTCACATAAAAAAGAATATTTTTGAATGGCCAGATGAAATAAGAATATTGCGGAAATAGAAAAAAGTAGGTCAATTTATTACGCGCTTATGCTTAACATATTTAGAGTAAGTTTGAGACCATTCCTTCAAAGTTAATTGTTTCATAATGTATATGTCATGACAAGAAACAGTATTTTGGTATTTATCGAAGAAAGGTATGCTATGGTTTGCAAGACTATATAAACGTTTTATCGTTTTATCGAAAGTGTCGAGCAAACCCCAAAAAATATTCGTCCACTGGTTTCATTAACAGTATCTGCCAAGAAAGAAAAAGTTTTGAAAATATTGATAAAAAGGAAAGTTTTAAAATAAGCGAATAAAGATAATAATTTCAAAACAAGCTACCTACAAGTTTTGGAAGACATGTATATCTATAGCTGTCAGTTCCATCGAAATCGAGTCTTTTGGATCCACAAGCCTGAAAAATAAAATCCATATTGTTATTTCAATAATAAAATTCGCCCTCCTCGATCCACCAGGGTGACTTATCTCGACTCTGCCCGCTGCCCGACTGTGTGACTTGTTTATGCCTTTCGCGTTACCTTGGTGATCTCTCTGATTAAACCTTCATTCTTGAATTGATCATTAAATTTGTTTGAGTTCATATGAGTCAATATAGAGAATTGCAAATAATATGTTAAAATATATTCGTAGTATGATTTTGATAGTTACTCCATAGCCAGTCGGCGATTACAGAATGATTCTACCTACCCGACCAGTGCAGACGAAAGATCAATCGGTACTACATCCGTGTCGTGTTATCTTGGTCAGCACTTTTTACAGTCTGTAAGTATTTTATTTTCCCCTAAAATTCTAAATGGTTTTGTCCAGATTGAGAATGACCAAGTCTATTGAAGTTATTATGGGTTGTTTGTTCATCTTTAAAGGTTAAAGATAAGATCAGATTATAAAACGCAACCTCCATATTTTGAAAAGTGAAGACGCAGCTCAAGCAAACCAAACCTGAAACATTTTTCAATTAACAGTGTCAGGGCACTTTTAAAAGATTCAAATTTTCACAACTTTGTTTTCAATTGCTTATCAAATACTTTAAACATTTTGATCTTGTTTATCTGTGTCAAAATGTTTAAAAGCTCAAATTTAACAGTACAGATCAATTACATAGTTACCTCATTCGGTTGACATGTGGTTTCGGACAAACAGTCCACTGGCCTATCGACATCGCCTTGTTCAGAGTCCGACTTTGTATTATCGCAAAGGTAACACCTTGTTGAATTTGTATCGGCTGAAATGTAAAGCGAATTAAATATGATTTATATTGGTTGTAACATCTGGAGGGTATAAAAGCTTTCACTGTCGAAGATTGAAACTTTTTTAGGCTGGTGCTACGGCATTACATAAATAGGTATACTTTGTCAATTGCTTCTCAATCGCAGTCATTTATTTGGTTTAAAATGTTTACGTGAGAATACGATTAAATGGTTAGATTATAGTAATTATATATCAAGATTCAAGACTGAATGGGGCATAAACAATTTTATTGCCATCAGCCATAACCGTGTTAAAATATTACAAACACATAAACACTTTTTTTTAAATAAAATGAAAATGAATTAAAATGAAAAAAAAAGTAAAAAAAAGTAAAGAAAAAAAAAATGAAATAAATAAACCTATGCATTACACTCATAAACATCAGAATAATTCAGTATATAGCAACAAAATATAACAAATTGTGTTGGAAATTAGTTAAAATCAGTTACCAGTTAATGTTCATGCTAAAGTTGCATAGTACATGTGTGATTTTCTGTACTGCATTTTGTATGTTACGAAACTATTCATTATAAAGGAACGGACATATCTAAAGTTTGTTAATACACTGCTTTTAAAAAAATGGATGCGTATATAATGTAATTCAAAATATTTTTTCAATTCTCTTTTTATAAGCATTTTAACAATCGATATTATTTTTTGCTTGTAATGAAGTATATAATAATGCACGGGTTATTGTTCAAATGCTTTGTAATTTATCATTAGGCATAATTAGGTATATTATATATTATATTATTATATGATTATATTCCTGCGCATTTGAACTCGAAACTCGAACCGTGCATTATTTTACAAACAATGCACTCAAAATTGATTACCTATTTCCTAAATAATGTACATGTATATGCATTTATAAAAAATGACACCACTTACTTTTCGTAAATGTAAATGAACAACTAAATGAACAACTATATCTAAATGAACTGATATAGATTGATCATCTTTTCAAAAATTTGGGTGAAATCGAAGCTTACTATATTTTATCCCGCACAGTCTGGCGTTACAATCAAGACCTCCAGACTTCCGCTTTAAATCACAACATCTTGAGCAAGCTACAAGGTCACCTCTCTTATGTAAATCACGCCTTCCTATTGATGGAGATCCGCCCACACCTGATTTGCATACCTAAACATAAAACATTTCCATATATTATTTAATTGAAATACTTTCTCAAGCTGTGTGTTTATTATAAACAGGGACCAAAAATATTTTGGTCCCAGTGATAACTTCAGGAGCATCACAGGATTTGTTGAAAATTGAATTGGTAAACTAACTAATTGTTAAAGAGTATTATTATTAATTTTACTACATTTATTATTATTCATGTATAATATTTTATGGGACACCTCTAACCGTCATTTATTCTTAGATTTCACGTGAAGTGCCTCCTTGCATCCTAAACTAAAGTCAATTTTAACGAAATTGATATAATAAGAGAGTTACATTTCTTTTCAATTTTCGCGTAAATTAATTTTTTTTAATTTTCGCGTAATTTCATTTTTTTACCTTTGACATAGATATATTTTTTCAATCAATTTTAACTATCAAAGGTTAGATCATTTTCTTGCCATTGATCAATACAGCTTGGACGAATGAATGTGACAAACTCATTCCATACAAAAACGGCGCTTCACTTTCACAAGGAACTGATTACTTATGTACATGCCCAAGCAGAGGTTCAGTGCAAATGACCATAGAAAGGATTTCATGATCAATCCTATACCGCGACGCCAGATTCACAGTGTAAAATTTTACCTATTGAGCTAACCGGATGGCTTGCCGTGAAAATTTAGTATGCTACAGACTTATATACCAACATATTAAACATTTATATATCCACTTATTAAATATGTATATACCAACTTACACTTTTTGCTCGGCATCCACCAGTGTAAACTACTGTAAGTTGGTCAGTAATTAGTTCGTCCATATAACAGACCTGAAATTAAATTTAATTTAAAGTTAAATCATCCATCCATCTATCCATTACACTTTTGTTTCATGTTGGGTAAATACATGGAAATCATTATTACTTGATTATTAGTAATAATTTTTGCATTGGCAATTATGTTACGCAACTAAATTTTAGCCGAAAGAAAAATACATGTATATGGACTGTAAAATGAAAAACAGGAGAAAGGCTTAATCAAGTCATTTGGAACATAATTAAATAATTAATATTTTCTTCAGCGATTATATTAACATTCATCAAATGCACAGTAATCAAAACGATTTTTACCAGTCTAAAATGCCCAGAAAGGATAATTCATGCATATGGTGTCTAAACCATTTTAGTTACAAAACATATAGTCCAGGCTGTTTTATTTAAAATTTGAATAAGAATTAAAATCAAATAATAATTTAAATATGCTGTATGGTGATATTTAAGGGCAAAGTCCAACATTTCGTTGTATAGTTATGTTTATGGCACATCACTTCAAGCTGTATCTATAACATGAGCGGCGGGATACTGCTTTATATGACAAATCTGTTGACTAGAAAATATTTGTTATAGTGACTGAAGTAGGTACCCATTTATATTTATGTTAGGTAGATAAGCTTATAATATAAGGTATGATTTTTTATTGACATATATAAACCAAACCACTAGGCGTTGGTTATTTTGCTAACATTCATTTAAAAGTTTTTATATATCCATTTAGCCTGTCAATTATCTTTATAAATCTAAGTTCCTTTATTTGAGGAGAACAATGAAATTACTTCATAAATTGTCATTTCAATCAAAGGTCATTAAACAAAGTTTTTATTTATGCTTACGTTTGAGTTCTTATAAAGATCATTACCTAATCGGAGCAGTATCTTAGACCCGAGTTATTTATAGAAAAAGATAATAACCTCATTATTAGGACCCGAGCTATTTATAGAACAATACAATTATATCATAATTGAGACCCGAGTTATTTATAGAACAAGACAATTATGTCATAATTGAGACCCGAGTTATTTATAAAATTAGACAATTATGTCATAATTGAGACCCGAGTTATTTATAGAACAAGACAATTATGTCATAATTGAGACCCGAGCTAATTATAGAACAAGATACTTACCTCATCATCAGCGCATTTCTGGGAACCAGAACAAAAGTCAAGACTGGCAACTCTGTCACATTTTTTACACGTCAAATCCGACGTCTGTCCACTTACTGTAACTGTAGAATGTATCATGATGATAGAATATGTCATATTTGACGGAATAAAAGTCCCAGGGGGACCCGCCCCATTGGCGGTAACGAGGCTTGTCGAGGTACGCTTTTTCCAATCTGAACCGCAACTGCATATCAGATATTGTTTTGGGTGCATATTCTACCATATTCTATCATACTTCATATTCTTAACTTTAATGAAACAAATCTTGATGGAATTTAATGTCAATTGATCCAATTCTATTTTCTTACAATAGCGTATGAATTCATGACGGCAAATTGACCTCATCCAAAGCACGCAGTTTCATCTTAAATACAGGGAAATGACGTAATTTTAACGACGTTCATTCATAAAATGCGCTTAAATGACGCCATTGTATAGAATATGAATCATGTGGCAACCCCAATACAAGATGGAATTTCCGGCATGGGTAAAACTAATGGGAACACCATTCCGATATGCAGACTGTTATGCTGAATGGTCGGTATGGACAATCTTTCAAATACGGCCATATATAACTTAGTAACGAATTTACAAATGCTGCATTTTGATAAGAGGAACGTTTTTCATTTATGCAGCAGCCGTGTTTATTGATAATATGAGTTTAACGATTGTCCAATGAAATTCGACGTAACAAACATTATTGATAATGATCCAACGTAATTCATCCTTTCATATATGGACATCAATTAAATGAAATTAGGTCAATGTTTAATGGAAATCGGATGATGGTGTTCATTAAAGATGAATTTAAATTGTAGGTATAGTGTAAATTGCATATGAAAATGTTGGTATAGTTTAGATTACATATTAGTGGGTCGCGAAAATACATGACAATGTTATCTTAAACCGCAACTTTTTTACACGCGCCCTTTTGACAAATGTTTTTATTGAAATCATTTTAGCAACTCGATATGATTAGCATCAATTTAGTTTTTTTTAATGTTTATTTGATTTTTTTCATCATTTTTTGTTTTATTATATAAAAAACACTTTTCTGGGTATGTGATAGATAGACTATTATTTTCGTGTCGGTTCATTACTAAATTTATTGATCTCCCCAGATGCTCGCACAATATAATTTTACTCGACCCATTCAATAAGTTCAGTATTGAACCTATACTCATTCAATATCCATTTATTACTCAAACAGTCCATATTCATTATTAATTACATCAAATTTACAATAATAAATGTTTATTAATTTTATTCATTAATGTAAACATTTTAATAGCATAAATAGGAAATTATGTATAATTTGTTATATACTGTTACAACACTTTTATGTGACTTAATTATACATTGATGACATAAGAATAAATCAAATATATGTCAATTTATATCAGTATTAGGTAACCTCAACTTGGATTTCCTTATCTCTCCACATTACTTTAATGGTGATAAGTGATAAAATATGACCTCATTTTATGATGACATGACCTATTTGAACATTAAGGAACATTGTTTAAAGGAAATAATATTTCATATTCATTTCGTTATATCGGTCATTAAGTTTACAATTAGATAAGATAAATAGTTTTAACTTAAAGCGGTATAACGGACACAAATCTGAATTGAATATAAGATAATTGAAGTATCATGCCCACCAAGTGTAAGCCGGTGCCTCATAATACCGAGGTACTTAACAGTTTAACACAGACAACAAAAGTTAGAAGAATAAAATACGGGAAAATACGTTGAATATTGTAGCAAAGACATGTCAATTATATCATTGTTTATTCCATTTAATGTTTGCATGTAAGCAATTATGTACACAACATGGCTATTAACATGTATCTACTGACTAGTTCTCACAATAATATTTCCAAGGCAATAACAATTTAACAGTTTCAAAAGCAAAACCAATAGTAATCTTTATTTGTTTAGTGCATTTTTATCCTGTCTGAAAGTGTGGATTTTCTCTATGGCATCATGCATGTACCAAATATCTAAATGGTTGTTTATTAAAGACAATTGTCTTGAAAGATATGAAAACTAAAAGTAAAATGGTGAAATAATATACTTGGTTCTTAATCTGAATAAAATAATAAATTTTCTCCGTCGTATATGTAGCATATCAATAACAATACAATTAAAAAGAAAAAAGTTTAACTACAGGCAGTTGCATGAGGTCTAGGAGACACTTGAGACTGTTTATCCCTTGTATCTTGGAATTATGGGTACCTTGGAAGTATGAGGCACCAGTGTAATTGGTAAGGGCACAAGTCAAATGAACTTAATTTTTTTGTCATAATTGTATTCAATTTTGTATTTTCCGATGCAAACATAATCAATTATCCATTTGACCAACGGACATGTTTCAAATGATTATTTAGAATGTATGGGCAGTGGCGGATTCAGGCAAGCAGCCCCTCTCCCAGCTCAGCTCAAAGATACGTTCATGAACTGGGCTGGAATATGTTTTTGTCAGTTTCATGCCTTATTGGCTGTAGTGTACTCCCTTATCAAAACTTTAAATGCTGTCATCAGGTTGTTAATCAACTCCTTGGGGTAACGTTTAATTTTCAAAGGGAGTAGGGCAGTCTTTTGATATTTAGGCAGATTTTGTATTTTGTCCGTAACATTTTCCACACCATTATGCTACTGTCAAGCTCTTGAAATAGATTACTTATTCAACTGTTTAACTACTTTCAATTTTATTTTGAGAATTAGAGGAAAATGTCAAACTCACCTGAGAAAAACGTAATTACAGACACGCTAATTATGGAATATGTAACTCCTGAAAAAGAAAGTACCAAAACTTGAACAAAGATTTTTTTTTTCGTGTTAATTTAAAGTTTGTTTTAGCTGATACCTGGGGCTTATATAACAAGCTTCATGTTCGAGGGTAGATATATAAAAGTATAGTTTTAGTCAAATCAAGCCCAGATAATGTTTTTTTTTATCTTCTTTAGAAAGGGCAAACGCGTGCGTTTTAAAATGTTGTTATTATGGACTCAGAACATGTGAGATACTTATCACCTAAACAAATATCATTTGACGTACAAAAAATGTGTCATAAAGATAGCAAAATGTAAACAAAATGATATTTTGTGATACTATCGAAATGCTACGTCATTATAAATGTATTCATTGCCAAAGAGAAGAAGAACTAAAAGATTAGTAATTCAAAATGGCCGAGGTGTAAAAATTGTAATATGCTACAGATGATAAAAATGTAAGTAAAAGCTAAATAAATGCTTTTAGAGTTAAATGGGCCTTAAAAAGTACAATGATCGCATTACAATAAACGTTAGACAATTTCAAGAAATCATATAACATTACCCAATTACTTATCCTCTAAGATAATACGTCGAAATGTTCTTGTGTCTGATTGCCCCGATAATTCGTAGCGTTCAATGATATACAAGGTGTCACAGTTTCATCTACATGTGATTAATTTCAATTAAAAACATATATCTTTTAATGCTTATTCTACATCTGGATAAGATTTTTTGGGTTGAATTATGGAAATAATATTGGGCTCATGCTATATGTTGTAATGTGACAGACCAGGTTTATATGTAATAATGTGACAGACCTTAGACATGGCCTATTGAAATCTAAACTTTAAACTAAAGGTCGTCTAACGCGATGAAATTGAAACTGTTTTAGACCCAGTTATTTTGAAAAAAAAACTTCAGACTCTGTAGACTGGTAGAGTGCCATAGTAAAATGCAAAATACTGACCACTCCACTGGCACCGACCAGCTGTGGCAAAAACAAACAGCTAGATACGCAGGTGGTGATATTTGTTTTTAAAGAAATCGGTACCATGCGCATATTTCTTTATATTGCTATGGCCATGATGCTCAAATTTCTAAAAAAAAATCCAAAATTATTGAAAAAAAACAACTTAAAATTTGATGCCCTTGAATGTATTTGGTGATTGTAATAAAGTGCTTGGCACCTTAAAAAATTAAGGGTTCAGGTACACGACAAGTTTCGTTTCATAGTTTAATAAATGTTGTACGAAAATAATCAGTACTGTTAAAAAAAGTATTTGGGAATTACACATAAAAGCATTAATAACGTAGGGTCTTATATAATATAAACGGCATTATTGATAATTGTAGCAAATAAGACAATAAAAACAAATATCTTCTTAAAACACTTAAATAGTAGTACTATATAATAATATGTCTATATTTTATGACAGAAGTATAAATATAACAATAAATAAAAATAGGAAAATAAAAGTAAAGTAATAAAAGATAACGCCGAACCTTTCATGATCTTCTTTGTTGTGTATATGCCTAAACTCTACAAACATGTGTCAAATTTTACATATATAACAATGAACTTATCTTTGACATCACGGAATTAGGTCATAGCAAGGTTATAGAGGGCAACATAAAGATCGTCTGCTATTACATAAGAGGCAATATTTTATTAAGTCACCTATTATTTTCAATTAAATAAAATGTATAGTTGCTAAATATCTAGTGCAAGCTATCATTAAAGAAGGACTTATATCTATAATAAGTAACAATCCTTAAAATGTATCCATGTATTGTCTTGCTTTCATCATTCACGTACTAAAGCTCTCTTTAATATCAACCTGTAAAAATTATTATATATATCTGACTTCAAGACGTATAAATAATTGTATAAATGTGATAGGTGTCAGTAGGCCCATTGGGCCGGGTGTTCTGATAATTGTCTTCATTATTGTATATTGTATTGTTTAAAACACATGTCACTTTATTAAACAATTTACTTATTTTACTTACTTACTGTATACAAGATGCTATTTGAATTTAAAAAAAGCAAATGGTATGTATGTATCAAGCTTGTATATTCCCTTAAATGATGTGTGGTGATTGAACAGGAACGCCTTTATTATATACGGTATGTTGATTGTTTTCTTTTTGACATTGGTATGATTAAACTGCAATAATGATCGGTTCTTAAATCTGCAGTCCACGACTTATGATTTGTTTCGAAAAAGATTTTTTCTTCTTCTGAATATCCACTCAAAATAACATTTGAATTTCATAAACACCATATAGTAGTTTTTATGACCAGACTCCAGGTTTATATGGCAGATTCCCTATAAATATCCTTTGTACTTTGGTCTTCCGGTTGAAAAGTCTGGTACCCGGAACTAAACACAAAATTGTAACATATTTTGTTTTAACCATGCAGTGCAAAAACGCAAAGAACATTCATAGAACACCAGTCACCATTACTAGTACACTTACCTCTTTCAAAATTTAATATTTTAGTAAATAATCGGTCCGGCAAATAAATCTATTTCACTAATTCGTAAAATCTTTTCTAAATATTTAACAATATCTGTATAATGAATTAATTGTATGACAGTTCTGTCCAACTATCCATTAGCATTCTGGATAGTCTTGGTTAACATCAAGAATTATAAATAATGAAACTCGTACTATTGATATATCATTTGTAAACCCTGATGTTTCACTACCATACGTTTTTATATTGAAATCACTTATTCATCAAATAAATCGAGTTTTTGATTAAATGATACATATACGTAAATTCATACATGTATATAGATACAATTTTTAATCTTTAAAACGGATTTCTGAGCTTGACCAGCCAAAACCCTTTGAGCTGTGCTTAATGAAACAAACACATGAAAAAACATACCTTATTATGAGCAATTAATTACAATATCAATAATTTTTCTATAACAATATAACAAAGATTTATTATTAACAATAGCTTTTCCTGAAAATCGTAAGTTTTGTTTTTTGTTATGTTTAATTTTAGTTTCCTATTACTACAGTAATCACTCGAAACATTTAAACCATGTCGTGAATCTTTTGGATGAATTAGCAAATTGAAACACCAATGCCTTCATACAATAGAAGAAATATTTTGAAATCATATAAATCCGTACACGTCTTTGTAGAACCTTTCCTGTAAAATGTGATTCTGTTCACATCATTTGGTAGCGACGATTGAATTTGAGTGGTTGCTGAGAAGAAGTCCGGACAAAGGAGGAGTTGAAAGACAGTTGAGGGGCATTAATTTGTATAAAATAATCACTGTACCTACCGGAAATTGCTACTTATCTGCAAACATGTTCTTTGTAGTAAAGCTTCCTGTGGTGATTTGATACAATCTATTCGGTGGTTGCGGAGAACCAGTAAATACAGAAATAACAGCCAAAATATTATTAAAGGGACATAATTTTGTGTAACAAATCATTGGGAAGGAACAGACTGCTTATTTGCTCATCTGCTCTTGATAGTGAAGCTTTCAAGTTTCGTTGAATTCCATTCAGTGGTTGTTGAGATATAGTCCTTGCATAAATTATAGCTGAAAAATTAAAGACGAAACTGGAAAACCATAAAAGGACATCGCTTTGTGAAAAATCATCGTGTCAAATTTTTTATACATTTTTTTTCCAAATCATACAGATAAGATTTTCTCTTGATAGTGAAGCTTTCGATGAAGTGACGTTGAATTCCTGAGTAGTCGCTGAGAAGTACTACGAACAAAAACATCTGACAGACGGACAGTGCGAATACTATAGCCGCCCTTCGAAGGCATAACAATAAACAAACATCCCACTTCCGGAAAAAAACCCACAAAAAAACAACAACAACAAAAAAAACGTGCTCCTTTATAACACAAAATAATATATATTAATAATTTTATTTGGAAATGTGATGCTTCTTCAAGGTATTTAGGGCGTGCGTTCCGTGATTGCTGCTCTTCATTGTAACATTGAAAACTTTTATTATTTCTTTAGAAATTCTGCAATCGTATTTCCTATCATCTATTAGAGTATTTACTTTGTAACAAAGAAGGCGTGAGAAACGTACCGAATATATCACATGTAACCTGAGGTTAACAAGTTAAATAAAAAGACATAATCTCACGAAGTGCTAATGGCGATACGTCATAGTAAAATAACTACACAAACATTATCTGTGTTTAAATGACAGTTAAAGATCCTGTATGTTATAATTAAGGTTGTTAACACACTTAAGTGAAATTGTATACATGTATATAATCATGCTTCTAAAACAATTTTCAAAAATTGAAGAATATGTAAAATATATACTGCAAATATTTGTCCGCTTTATATGTAATCATTTAAATATATGCATTCATTTCTTATCGAAAAAAATTGACTTAGACTTTAGAGAAAATAAATTTCTTATTTCCTCCCTTTTTTACATGATATGTAAATTCTGTAATGTCTTTACAAATAATGCTTTTGGAACTTATATTGATATTTGAGCATTACATTTATGGTATAAAAACCATAAAAACATTGAGTTACAGGATCTTTTAACTTAGATTGCATTTGTGAAAAATGATATGCCACTGCATTAATACAACATTTGAATGTCGAAACAGAAGTAGATCCTTTTTGTTTCTATACAATTGAATTTTGCCATAATGCAGTAGGTTCTAGTGAATTGTGGGGTCAATGTCAGATGTGTTCTTATCGAAAAAATTGACTTAGACTTTAGAGAAAAAAAATTTCTTATTTCCTCCCTTTATTTACATGATATGTAAATTCGGTAATATCTTTACAAATAATGCTTTTGGAACTTATATTGTCATTTGAACATTACATTTATGGTATAAAAGCCATAAAAACATTGAGTTACAGGATCTTTTAACTTCGATTGCATTTGTGAAAAATGGTATGCCACTGCATTAATACAACATTAAAACGTAGAAACAGAAGTAGATCCTTTTTGTATTTTTCTACACAATTAAATTTTGCCATAATGCAGTAGTGTCTAGTGAATTTTGGGGTCAATGTCAGATGTGTACAAAGGCCAGAGTAAAATAATTGATTCAAAATAAAATATTCTTACTTAATAAAGTTTAGACATTTACGTTAATGTATTAAACTTTAAAATACAATTACAGTTACTTTTGAAATACCATCTTTTGCATTAAGCATTACATATTTCTGAAAGCATAAAAATGCTTTAATTTAACGATTTCAAAACCATCATAAGAGACAATGTTTAATATTTAAACTAATCTATACTACCGTTTTTTACCCGTTACACGATAAAAAGGTATACATTGCGTGATTGATAATGTCTTTATAATGTGCTCAAATCATTCCATAAATATCTTTGAAAAGCAAACATCTCTATTGCCAGAGGTTTTGACCCGGTTTTCGAATCGTTTTCTTTCTTTTGTAATATTGCATAAAGTACACATGTATAAGAAAGATGAGTTGTTTCCCTTCCATTATTTAACTCATGAGCTGTGCGGGGAATGATTTGAAGGAAAGGCATGGCATCCTGGAACAGGGCCAATTTTGACTAAAAGCTATGATCTAAATAGATGTTTACTAGACAACGTTTCATACCCGAGCCCTTGTAGTTTTGAAAAAATACTTTTAATTTCTTTTTACTATATACATATAAGGAAACACATTACCCCTTGGGCGCGGGACCAATTTTGACTCCAGGGCTATAATTTGAACAAGCTTGGTAGAGGTTCGTTATATTGTGCAAAATTTATGTGATCTAGGCCTTCAAGTTCTAGAGGACAAAATTTGTTTTTAATATTTATTTCTATCGGTCCTTTCAGTTGCCATGCGAACTAGATTTCTGCATAGAATAACTTCTGAGAGGTCATTCATACAAGGAACAATCCTAGCAAGTTTAGTTGAGTTCGGACTTGAGGTTTTTAAGGAGAAAAGTTAATAAGTTCATTATATAATCTATGTAACACACGCACACACACTGGGAAAAAGTCTAGAGCCATTAATTTCAATTTGAACAATGACACCAATCAAACAACGAAGATACACTACTTTACTTATTATTTTATAGTTAATAAGAAGTTTGCATAATCAGTCGAATATTAACAGAAAAAGAAACGACAATAAAATTGTTAACCGAGTATTTATTTCACAATTTGAATTGATATATATGCAACAATTTATACTGGTACTGATAACCATGTCAAGAAAAAAGTCCGAAAGTTATTTATAATAACGTTAATGTAAAAAGCGAAGGAATCCTTTATTTACACATAAGCACCTTCTGATGACAATCCACATTATTTGATGATATATTATCTCCTATTGTTAATTTGTCTAGTATCACTTTTGTTATAATTGACCCTTATGTAGACAAATGTAACTCCACTGAGGTTCTAAAGCCTATACACATAAATTTTGAATTTCTTTCCTAGGATGAACTGGTGCACATAAAACGGATAATTATGCAAAGATGATAAACAAGATAAATAAAATAATCAAAAATAAGTTAAAAATCCTATTTTTGTGCTCTTCTTAGCTCGCTTTGTATTAAAAACGTTTAAATGTTTTCAGTTTTGGGTCATGTCCACAATAAAAATTCATGAAATACTAAAACAAATAAAATAGTATTTCTGTGCTATCCTTAGTCCACATTAAAGGCGTTTATACGCATCTATTTTTTTGGTCAAATTCATAATCAAAATAATTATTCTTGAAAAAAGCTGAAAGTCTAGAATTCATCAAATACTTAATATATCTCGGAAAAAAATACCAGCCCTATCACGCCGAAAACAAAAGCAAAATAGAAGAGTACCGAATTTCAAAAGTTCATCTAATTACTTCTTATACAACTGTAGTAATTCTTTTAACACCACACATATATATTTCAGGATATCTACGATAACTCCATTCCATAATTTTTCATAGACTTATGAATTCCTGTATCTTTATAAGGTTTTTCCCCATCCACCACCCAATCATCGAAGAATTTTTCATACAAGATTTCACAGCCAGCCTTTTCAAATATCTTTTTTGAAAAATTCGAGGAACCCTCAACTTTGAGATACACGGGATCGATTCCAAAATTACGAATCATATCAATTGCAGTGTTGAATATCTTCGTAGCATAGCCACGATGTCTATAGTTTGGTGCTACTCCAAGGCCTAAGAAGTGGAACGCTTCTTTCGTATTAAAATGACCAAAGAACTCTGCCTCTTTGTCACAATAATCCAGAAAGCGGACCATTTCTTTTAACGGTTGGTCTTGTATGCTATCAATATCATTTGTATCATCATATCGAGCTATTCTTGTGGTACGAAATGCTATCGGCTCTCCATCTTTCTCATTCAGGAACATCAGTGAGAGGTTAAGATCAAAGGAATTCGTCCAGAATTGTTCAAGTTCATCAGTCCACTTCATACCAAGACCTTTGTTCATTGGTTCGTCTGTCATAAAGTACTCCCGAGCAAACTTTAAAGCAATGTCTTTGTATTCGTCTGTAATAAGAACAAGTTTGACGCCTGGTTCCTTAAAGTTCTTCAACGTTTTATCAAACGCCTGGAAATAGAAGAACAATAATAGAAGACAAATAAAAAGAATAAAAGATACCAACATTTAAGAAAACCTTATACATAACAATTCAAGTGACAAAATGTTCATATTATTTCTGAACTAGCTATATATTTCAAATTTGCAGTTTTGGGGAATTTAAACAATACAAAAGGCACCAAACGTCACTCTTAGCGCCCAAAGTTAAAATTCATCTTCTGGGATTTTTGTATTTTAATATCCACATACATTTAATGTATATCAAATAACATTCTGACTTGTTGCTTTTTCAAAGCTTAATCCAGGGGATAGTTGCATTTAGTAAACGGGCTATAACTGACGGACAAAATAACCTTGGAATAGACTATACGATGTAAAATATACTGACACGACTGACCGGGGTTCCCAGTAGTATGTTATTATAGAAAAAGAAAGAATAATTAAAACGGAGCAAGAATAACATTTATATTTTACTTAAAATAAAATGATGAGGTATAATATAGTTGCCATTTTGTTACTAAACTATACAGCGTTTGATCAATGATCACAAATAAACTTGTTTCTGTCGCCCACAGTATATTATGATATGTAAAGTTTAATATTGTCACGAGTCAGTGAGTTTTAACTAACATAGTAAGAAGGAAGAAAAAAATCGTAAACATTTCTTCAAAACCTCTGGTATGTTGATAAATGTTATCTTTAGATTTTCCTATTAAAAATGCAGTTTCGATAAATTTTACAATAAAAACCGCCCGTAGCAACGTTCATTTAATTTTTATGCGCATGAAATATTTTAACGTATTTCCTTTCGAGAAGGCTAGGATCATAAAAGATATATTTTAATACTTCTCGTGATTTTGTTACTAAACACAAAGACGAAAAAGGAAACACGGTGTTAAATTCCCAATAAACATTGGTTAGGGTCTACAATTAAATGCGGCTGTTACTTTTTCTCTTTCGACTGTTATTATTTCTCTCTAGATAAGGTAGTTTACAAAATAATAACGCATTTTTAATGATATTTTCCGTTTTCTATTCATATGACGCTAAAATGACATGTCACATGCACTAACGCCACAAGTTAAGATCAGTTGATAAAAGTAATATAAGATCAATCAGCGCCATTTCGTTAGTAACTCAGTTGCAAATTTATTTCAGGAAGTTTTTCAAAAGCCGCCTTAAAGCCGAAAATTGCGGCTAAACTTAAAGTCAAATTTTACACAAAATTGACAATTTTCTTTCCATTTTTCAAACATTTTTCGGCGTAAAACGATAAATTTTATATCAGCTTAAAGGGAAAAAATAATTTACGTCGGATGCTGTAGAATTTTAGATATTTTGTCCGCCACTGGCGTTGAAATACCCATTACAGTTGCCAAGGATACGCAACGACGTCTTGTTCAAAAGCGGGCTTTGATGGTCAACTTTGACGCCGTGTGTACACAAATTGGCTGAAACTATTGAAATAAAATCAACGGAACCTTATTAGAAATATGGTCAACTTTTTGCATGCCAATTTTCAAGACGCTACTCGAAAGTTCGCAAAGTGTCGCGTTCTACCTTAATTTTAAAATTATTGCCTTTTGTTTATTTTACGCATTGAACTGTGTCCGGGACAACACTTTTAAATGACATATGGATATCATTGTGTAAAAGGGCAATGCAAAAGAACCGTAACTCTACCTCGCCTAATTTTGTAGTTATTGTCCTTCGTTTTGAACTTAGTCCGGGACATCTCTCTAAAACTACAAGGGGTATTAACAAGAAAGTTTGTAGATAGATAGATCTCATAGAGAAGAAATACAGTGCAAAAGAACCATACACTGCCTTGCCTAATTTTAGAGTTATTGCCTTTTGTGTATGTTTACACTTTGAATTTTGTCCGGGAAATAACTCTTTAACGACAAGAGTTATTAACAAGAAACTTTGTAGCTAGATAGATTTCATTGAGTAGAAGTGCAGTGCAAATGACACGTAACACTGCCTTGCCTATATAAGAGGAGTAATTGCCCTTTGTTTGTTCTATACTTTCAACATTGTCCGGGACATGACTCTAAAACGACAATGTATTGAGATCTTAATACATTTTATAAAAGATTGAATTTCTTGAAATATTTTGTCCCATCTGGAGGCGTGCAGCTTTAACAAGAAAGTTTGTAGGTAGATAGATCTTATTAAGTACAAATGCAGTGCTACGGCACCGAAACTCTGCCGCCTTGCCTAATTTTAGACTGATTGCCCTTTGTTTATTTTTACACTTTGAACTTTGTTTGGTTCATAACTTTAATCCACAAGGGGTATCAACAAGAAACTTTGTAGGTAGAAAGATCTCCTTATGTAGAAGTGAAGTGCAAATGAAAAATAACCCTGCCTTTACTATTTTTTGAGTAATTTTCCTTTGTTAATTTTTATATTCTGAGATTTGTCCGGGACATAACTTGAGAACTATAACAGGTATTAACTAAAAACTTTGTAGGTTCATTGATCTTACTAAGTTGATATGCAGTACAAAAGAACCGTTACTCTGCCCTACCTTATTATATAGTTATAACCCTTTGTTTATTTTACACTTAAACCTTTTTCTAGGAATAACTCTAACATCAAAAGGGGTATTGATAAGAAACTTTGTAGGTAGATAGATCTCATTAAATAGAAGTTGCCTTATTTGGAATTATTTGACTTTTGTTCATTTTTAAACTTCGAACTTTGTCCGGTTCATAATTCTAAAACTAAAAGATATATCAACAAGAAATTTTGAAGGTACATAGACCTCATTGGACAGAAGTGCTTTTAAAAAGAACCATAACTCTGCCTTTCCCTAATTTTGGAGTTATTGCCCTGCGTTAATTTTCACACTTTGAACTTCGTCCGAGACAAAATTTGAGAACTATAAAACTTTGTAGGTATTTCTCACTGTGAGTAAGAACCGTAACCTTCTCATTCCGAAATATTGTAGTTTTTTCGTTATAAACTTTGACCTTGGTCTTGAATAATTTAAAAAAAAAAAGTATAAATTTGAAACTTTTTGGTAAATAATTCACAGAGTAAAGGCAGTGGGAGAACCCTAACCCTTTCCCTTTCCTTAATTTTGAAGTTATTTCAATTTTTCATTTTTTTATGCCCCGGGACAAATTTTCATGTCCTGTCCGCTTTTGCAATTTGGTTTCCGGGGCATAACTTAAAGTTCATTTTTTCCCACAGATTAAATTCATAGGGTGATTGTCCATTCAAGTGAAGGCCCCTTTTATTTTGGGGGCCAGGTCAAAGGTCAAGGCATTTACTTAAACGAAAAAGGTTTCCCGGGGTAATTAGTTTATTTGGGCCCCCGTATTCGATTATAGGTATTTTTCCCTATTTTAGTAGAACCTATTGATTTTGGGTCCAAGTAAAAAGGGCAAGGAATATTACTTTTTAACTGAAAATGGTTTTCCCGGGCATAAATTTAGTTAGACCCCCAATTTTTAAAAATTATAGGATGATTTTCCCCATTTGGGGAGAGACCTTTTGATTTTTTTTGTCCAAGTAAAAGGGAAAGGGGGTTTTTACTTAAATGAAAAACAGTTTCCGTCATAATTAGTATTTAAACAAAATACATGTTAAATTTTATGGATGAACAGCAAAAATATGACCCTGGGGTTTTAAGGGCAAAAGGAAGGGGCACAAAAGATTTTAACTGAATTTTGTGTTTTGGAGTAATACAACTTATGGGGGTGCCTTGAAAACGCAATGAATATATAAAATTCTTCATTAAAAAAGGATTGCTTTTTGAAAGAGGGTAATACTGTATATAATTCCCATGTCTTACAATTGTTTCATCCTTACTAACAAATAAAAACACTTTCGGGCATATAATGCTCCGTCTAGCGGTGCTCTTGGTACACTTTGAACTTGTACAGGACATTACTTGAGCACTATGAAAGGTATCAACATGAAACCATGTCTGTAGATAGATCTTTCATGTCAATATCTCTGGTAGTTTCAGAGTTATGCCCCGGACAAAGTTCAAAGTGTAAAAAAGAACAAAGGGCAATTACACCAAAATTAGGCAAAGCAGTGTTACAGTTCTTTTGCACCGCACTTCTACTCAATAAGATCTATCTACCTAATCAATTTAGATTTATGTTCTGGACAATGTTGAAAGTGTAAAAATAAACTAAGGGCAATAACTGAAAAACTAGGTAAGGCACATTTACGGTTTTTTTGCAATGCACATCTACTCAGTGAAATCTATATACCTACAAAGATTTTAAGTTGATACCGTTTATAGTTCTTAAGTAATGTCCCGGACAAAGTTCAAAGTGTAAAATTGAGCAAAGTCATAATTCAGGCATAATCCATGTCAGATCCATGGGTCTTACTTAGTAATCTCAACTTATGATCTCAAAGACATGCATGAAATTGCAAGTGAATACCTTTAAAAGCTCTTGAATATTGATATTACACGCAAAAAGACTTGAACTAAGAATTTGTCTCTGTTTAAAAAAAGGCAATAATTCATTCAAAATTCATGTGTTTGGATAGTGACCTTCAATCATAAACCCGTTTTTACATGAATACCTTTAGTTATTCTGCACTCAAGACTTGCTATGAGAGTGTTCTAAGTTTAAAAAATGGCAATAATTCTATTATAATTCATAAAGTGATTATGTTTAAAGTATTACGAAAAAATATTTAAATGTATTTCACGTTTTAAAGCAGAAAGAAATATTTTTGAACGCGCAATAAAGCAGCAATTAAACCTAAACCACAAAAGCAGTTTTAAAAAAAAGATATCGTCAAGTTATATAAACTGTGCAATTACATGCTTGAGTTAAAGGTGTGTTATATAAAGGTGTGGTATATTACAATAAAATTGTGATATCCCAGTATGCTGCTATCTTTGTATTAAAATAAAGAAAATAAGTATCCCTAAAGAAACCACAGCACGGCAAAAATTGAAAATATTAATTGGAAAGTGCCAAGTTACCGTCCAAAGCAATTTTCATGAGTTGGCAGGTAGCCCTTTTTATTTTTTTTTTTACCCAAATAAAGATAGTTTTAAAAAAATCTTGAAAATTTTAGTTTTTTTTATATTTAATTTTCCTCTTTTTGTTAAATTTGAAACCTTAGCTTAAAGGGGATAAATTTTTTTTAATGAAATTTTTATAAATTTTTTTAACATAAAATTTTTAAATTGGTTCCATATAATATGGATTTTCTCGAAAGGTTGAACATAAAAGTTTGTTTTTTTATACCCTGAAAATGTAGGTAAAGAATAAAATGTTCGGAAAAAAATTATTTTGCTATTTTAAGCGGTTTTTATCTGTGTATCAATGATTTCGTGCATGCATCATTCATTTTTAATGCAATTAATTACCATATTTATTTCATAGAAGCATTTTGGAAGTAAACATTTTTAAAATTCAAGCAATATTTTTTACATCAGATACATAGCTTTATACACTTTAGTTTCTGTATATTGGCTGAATTTAGAAGAACGTAGTCCAGCAATACACCAGTGAAAATACGAAAAATATGTTTCTCTGCAGTGCAAAATAAATTTTCATTGTGAAAATAAGGAAAATAACAATGAACGTTTTATTTCATGAACATTTCTAAATATTACATTTATAAGTAGATAATAAAGCTTTTTTCTTTATAAGTTTAATAACATTTAAATCATGACTTAAAGGGACTCCACTGAGGTTTAAAAGTCTAAAAACATTTTTAATTTAAAGGTCATTAAATTATATAAATTAAATAAAATTAAAATTTTAATTTCTTACATAAATGAGCTGGGGAACTTTAAACAGAAATATATGCAAAGATAGTTAAAAAATAAACTTTGAAATGAATTGAAAATCGTATTTTTATGCTTTTCTTAGCCCGAATTGAGTGAAAAGCGTTTAAACGCTTTTCATTTTGAGTCTTTTTTTGAATAATTATTCTCGAAAGACGAAGTGCGCGAATAATCTGAAATTTTACACAAATATTAGTGGTCTTAACCTACATCAAATGGTACATTTATCTGGAAAAAATATTTTCAGTCCCATCATGTCTGTGGAGTCCCTTAGATGCTTATTACCTACGAAAGTGGCCCTGAATGTGAAATTATTTGTCAACGAAAGTAATAAAATTGTAACAAAGTAGTGTTTTGACCTCCATACAAAATACTTAACATCTTTAACTGTACTTATTAAAAAACAATAACAACAACAACAGAAGCAAAAGATACTTCGGATAGATGGCCAATGAGTAGCGTTTTTTTATAAACTATATGTACTGGAATATGTAGTTAAATGACTCGCTGAGCAACAAAATGAACACATGGAATGTTTAAATAAATAAAAAAATAAATAATAAAAACAAAACAATAAATAAATAAATAAATCATAAAAACAAAACAAAAAAATAAATAAATGACATACTGTCTGTATCTGTTCCATCGTCAATTCCTTTAAACTCAAATTTTCCGCCATTTTTAGAGCCGTGCAATTTTGAATAAACACTGATTTTAAGCTGTTGTAAAACACATTTGTGTCATAGCTTGTTAAAAATGTGTCAGCTTAAAAATCGTTTACCAATGCATGCAAAGTGTGTTAACTGGGGTGCAGGTATGATCAATTACCAACGTGACCTACATAAATACCTATTATTATTATTCACAGGAAAATACCGGTAATGTAAAATGTATAAAAAGAGTGGGACAGTCTTTTTAATTATATTTTAGGCACCAGTTTATTATATATATATACTATATATATATTATATATATAATATATATATATATATATATATATATATATATATATATATATATATATATATATATATATATATATATATATATATATATATTATATATTTTAAACATTTGTGTTTATCAATTATTGTTCAATCGCCACAAAAAAGAGATGTTTTTTAAATATGCAACTAATTTATCTCAGATTGACTGTGAAAAAGAATGAGCATGTCACTCTAACAATTTCTAATAATCACTTCAAAAACCAAAATCACTATCATTTGCAGTGTCTTCGGGTTATTGTGTTATAACCAGCACATTTTATTTCCGAACAATGTATCATACATGCATATTGCAAGCGGTTACCTTTCAATTTAGAGCATAAATTGTTTTACACTGTGATAATGGACAAATTACTTCAAAATAGGACATGCATGGTTTTTAAGTGTGGTTATTATATTTTATAATAAAGCTAATTACTGCAAAATAAAACCGCCTCCGTGGTCGAGGGGTTAGAGTCGATGACTTCTAATCCAGTTACCTCTCTGGCGTGGGTTCGATCCCCGGGAGATGCTTTGGTAGTTTAGCGCGGAGGAAGGTTGTCTAGTACTGGTGTAACTCTCCAGGAACGATGGTTAGGAAACTACCCGCCTATATGACTGAAATACTGTTGGAAAAAGGCGTAAAATGAAACAAACAAACAAAACTGCAAAATAAACTATAAGTCTATATGGATATTCTGGATATAGGTCAAACAACGCTACAGTTTTGCCCGAGTTAGGCACACATCTATCAACAGAATAAAATACACGCTTACATATAAACCGGTATGCACTATACAAGTTACTAAAAACCAACATTTACCTGACTCTTGGTCTAGCATTGAATGCATGTTTCAAAATTAGTATAATAATAATAATAATAATAATAATAATAATAATGCACTGCAGTTCTACTCTTTGAGATCTATCAATCTACAAAAACTGCAGGGATGTAATCCTTTTATAGTACACGCCATTTGAAAGTTTCAACTTTTATCGATTGCTGCATGTTAAAACATTGATTAATTTCTATGGTTTTCGCTGAAAATAATATAGCAGAACATAACAACTGAGCCAGTTGTTTGTCACATGCATGGTGGACGGATAATCTTAGTGATCTATGGTGTAAATTGTCAATTGCAGAAAAACAGTGGTTGCAATGTTATAATAGAGCTGATAGAGTTTCTTTTAAAGCTAAATATGTTAGTACATCCGTAAACAGTTTGATGCAGAAGTCCAAAGGGCTAAGCGTCGTCACTGGTACAACCTTCAGAAGGATATATTAAATGCATGTAATGTTGATCGTTCTAGTTTCTTGAAATCTGTTGGTAGAATTGGTATAACACAAGCTAACAAGAAAATAATTCCTGATGAAGTTGTTCTGGCTGACGGCTCTTTGTCCGCAGATCCTAGTGATGTTTTACTTAAATGGAAAATAAAATTTAGTAATTTGTTTAATAATCCAAATGTATCTTGTGATAACAGGTATAATATTGTAAATGGTGATTATGATACACTAAGTTTTAATAGTGATATTTCTGTTTTGGAAGTCAAAAAAGTTATTGATGAAGGTAAACTTGGAAAAGCAAATGGTATAGATGGAATACCCATTGAAGCCTTAAAGAATGACACTGCTGTTATGTTTATGCACGCTCTGTTTAGTGTATGTTTTAAAAGTGGTACTATTCCAAATATTTGGAGTAAAAGTGTCATTTACCCAAATCCTAAGTCCGCAAGTATGGATCCAAGGAACCCATTACTATATAGGGGAATTTCTTTAACTTGTTCTGTTTATAAACTCTATTGTGCTATATTAAATAATGGATTAAGTTGGGCTGAAAATCGAGATGTCATTGTTGACGAACAGAATGGGTTTAGAAAGAAAAGAAGCACTATTGATCATTTATTTACGCTAACAAATATAATCAATACCTAGGAAAAACGTAAACAGTGTACATTTGCTGCTTTTATTGATTTTAAAAAGGCATATGATTATATAAATAGAGATTTACTAGGGAAAAAATTGTATGACATAGGTATAAAAGGTAAAATGTTGGGTGCTGTACAATCTTTGTATGATTCTGAATATTCATGTGTAAAAATTAACTCTAAACATACTGATTGGTTTACTGTTAAGTCTGGATTACGTAAAGGCTGTATATTAACTCTCCTTTTGTTTAATTTATATATAAATGATCTTGCTGTTTACCTGAAATCTCTTGATATTGGTGTTGACTATGGATTTGATAAAATATGTATGTTACTTTATGCAGATGATATTGTCTTGTTGGCAAAAGATGAAAAAGATTTGCAATGTTTATTAAATGCACTTAACAACTGGTGTAGCACCAACGATATAATTATAAATAGTAGTAAAAGTCAAATTGTCCATTTTAGACCTTTATCTGTATGTAGAACATCGTTCAGTTTTATATGTGGTGTTCACACACTTACTATCGTTAATAAATATATGTATTTGGGATTAATGTTGCAAGAGCACTTAGATTTTAATGTAACTGCAAAGGTTGTAGCTCAAAGTGCAAGTCGGGCTCTTGGCTTTCTTATTGCTAAATATAAATCGGCTGGTGGTCTTCTGTACGGTGTATTTACCCACCTATATGATTCTACTGTTTTGCCAACAATCAGTTATGATTCTGCTACCTGGGGTTATCGCTCTTTCTCGTGCGTTAACGAAGTGCAGTTTCGCGCTATGCGCTTCTTTTTAGGTGTCGTTAGATATACGCCTAACGTCGCGATTTCCGGTGAAATGGGATGGATATCCTCAGAAATCAGACAGTGGAAATCCATTGCTATTCATTTATCTAGAGTCTCTTATATGCTTGATTGTAGAGTAAACAAACGAGTTGCACTTTGTACTGCATCTGCAGCAAATAGATCATGTAAGAACTGGTTCTTCGTTGTTAATGATATGTTAAAAAATTGTAATGCACACTTATATAGTGATATAAGATTTTCCATTCCAAAACATACTATAGTGAATATTGTTAAAACTAAATTGCAAGAAAAATTTGTTTTAAACTGGCTCGAATCTTTGAATAGTGTCACAGGTCCTTCTGGTCGTGGTGGCAATAAGTTGCGTACATATCGACTGTTTAAAACAGAATATGAGACAGAATTATACATGTATTGTAAACTCATTATGCCTCCTTGTCATCGCACTGCATTTAGCAAGTATCGTTGTGGTGTGGCGCCTTTACGCATAGAAACTGGGCGTTACGAAGACTTAGAACGAAAATGCCAGTTCTGTGACAGTATTGAAGACGAAAGCCATGTCATTCTTGATTGCTTTGTGTACGATGACTTGCGACAATCATTATTTGATAAGGCTAAAACGGTAGATAATGCATTCGTACAAATGTGTAAAAATGAACAATTAATATTTCTGTTCACTAAAACTGAAATGATACGTTATTGTGCCAAAACCTGTTTTAACATTCTACAATGTCGTCTTTTATTCTCTTGTAAATAATGCCATTATATTTGCTTTAAACATGATAATGTATTTTACCTAGGTTAAAGTTATCATTGCTAATCAGGTCATGCAAGATCTTATCTTGGATGATAATCGATCTTTTAAAACGTTTTTAAAGGCGCGTTTGGGCTCCGATTTACAATTCTCAATTTCTTAGCAGTTTTTATTTTTCGATTAGCGATGGTTACCTTACTTTTAATATTTTGTTTAAATACATTGTAATTTGACTATTTGATTTTAGTCTAACTGTAAAAGGTCTTGAATATGTTTATCATTGATATAATGTCTCTTGAAATTCTTAAATAGAATGGTCGTATGCAGATTTCAAAAAAATGTATTATTTTACTGCATTCTGATATCTGGTTAATTTTTACTTGCTTCAAGTTTAGGAAGCACGCATGATATCTTAGCAGTATTGGCAATAGCCTGTCTCTGTTAGCCTGTCTCTGATTTCACAACAATGTTTTTTCTTGTGTTTTGAGGAAATATACATGACAATAGCTTTTGGTACATACACGCTATTCAAATCATACCATTTGTCAGCATTTAAAAGATCATGAGTAAGAGATTCAACTACTCTATTTAGGGATACATGGATGGTATCATCTATCATCAGCAAAAATATCATTGTCTGTTTTTTCCATAGACAAAGGTCGTTGATACAGCTTTAAAACAGTATAGAACAAAGCATTGAACCACGAGGAGACCCAGTAGTTACTGAACGTTACTCTGATTATTAACCAGCTATGTACGTTTGTTGGTTTCTGCTACCTAACAGGAGGAGAACCAAACAACTGATAAAGGGTCAAAGATAAACATTCTAAGCTTTATTTTAGTAAAAGCTTTAGAAAGATCGATGAAAAAAATGAAGCAAATATTTCATTTCTGTCAAAGGCTGTGATCCAATTATCATAAACAGTTCTTAGCAGTGCAGTTTGACGTGAAATATTAATCTGACTCAAAACTAGTTGATTTCCCCCAGGTATTGCTTGAAATGTAAACTGACATGACTTTTTAATTGGTATCAAAGAAAGTATGAAAATTGGCCTATAACTTACTTTAATTGGCCTGTAATTTATTTTATCACTTAGAATCCATTTTATATGTATAAGAACGACTTTGGCATTTGTGAACCATTTAGGAAATGTATTATTTAGAATGCTGCTGTTGAACATATTGCAATGTAAATGAGCATATCTTTAGAAACCTTGCACTGATACAATCTGACCCGTATAATATCTCGCGAATTTAATTGGGTTCAGATGTAAAATTTG